AATTCCAAAATAGTGTAAATAAATATGCAAATCTATATATAATAAAATAAGTTAATTCTTAAAATGCATCAGTTTGATATGGGTTTTGCTCTTTTTCAAGAGATTCGTCATATCGACTCTTCTTTTTTCCACAAATTACTTGTCTGCGTTTCTTTGCTCGTTCTGTGTTTTTATATATGGCTAAGTATAACCGTTTTTTATTTATTTTCCTACATCTTTCTAACAAATACTTTCCAGGTCTTAAATTCATATTTTCTAAAATTAAAACACTAGCTTGTCTACCAATGTTAAAATGGGCAACTGCATCAAAAGTGCCAAATTGAAGATGCGTAAGCGAAACATTATCGCCTTTTGGTATACGCTCCCATATTTTCATGTTAAAAGACTCATTGTTATTTTGGGTAAGGCCATGCAGACATTTTTTTAAAAGAATGTCACCACTTAATTCATCATAAATTGGCTTAAGTTTCCAAACAATAGATATTGGTAAGCCAGGACCACGTCTATATGTTGAGGTATGGTTTGCTTTGTCACGATTATACCGACACCAACTATCTGAACCTTCTTGACAGTGAGGAATAGGTAAATTTTCATTTTTTGATGAAGCAACATGATAAAGTGTAGCTCTTATAGCAGATTTCAAAGCACTTAAATTATTTTTGTTTTGGCGAATTGCAATGCCATAATAATTTTGGAGACGATCGATAGTTGCATCGGTCAATTTTCCACGACCACCAAGACCTTTTTCTTTTTTTTTTAAATTACGTAAACGTGTTCCAACTCTTTTTTGCACATGGCCAACACATTCAGGTTTTGTTTACAAGAACACCTTGATAAACATTTTTTACAGCATCCTAACCTTTGCTATCCTAACTTTCGCCATAGAAACCAGTATATCGTAGATTATGTTTTTCGATAGATCTACTCCATATTCTGCGGGCTCCCTCTGGCTCCATTTCACCAGGTAGTCCTTGGTAATTAAAAGTACATTTATGTTTATCATGCCATATTTCATAGGCTAATGGGTTTCCTTTCTTTAGATGTTCTATATGAAAACATGCTTTACATAGCTTTATTTTGAGGAAAAAATATGAAAATCTGAAGTATGTAACATCAAATAGATTTTCATATATTAAAAAATAACAATCTTTTTAGTATAAAATATATATATATATATATATATATATATATATATATATATATATATATATATATATATATATATATATATATATATATATATCAAATTAGATCGGTGTTTACATACACACAAACATATATATGAATATATACAATATAATATATATGCATATATGCAAACCTAAACAAAACAACCAAATTGTATACTTAACTTGTTCATAGCTTCAACATCTATTACTTTGCCTGTTTCCATCGAAATATCAGAAACAACACCATTGTTTGAAGAATAGCCTTATTGCTGCCAAGTGCCATTACATGATACTGCAACATCAATAACATTGGGCATATGGTCTGGAATAGAATTTAAAATAAAATTACTCTTCAAGTCTTTTAACTCTTGAGCAGCATCCATCATAGTATCTTCAGCTACAGATTTTACTGCATTAGTTAGTTTTATATCTTATACTGCTGAGTTAGGTGAGCATGATGACGTCATACTCACCTAATGTCAAATAGCCTGCTGCCGGGGGCTTCAGTACATACATCGACTGACAAATAGCCTGACTCGCCGTGGAGTGCTGCTACATCGACTGAGGGTTTGGTATGGGTCAGCAACATTTTCATTCATTATTCTTCGTTTTCCCTCATCGTTTTCTAAAAATGCTCACTTAATTTAGGCTAGCAAAAAAAGTGAGCAATTGCGCATATAAATATGCTATAGTAGATATATATATAACAATTTTATTATAACTATTAGCAGTCATTGGTTTAGGCATGTCCATTAATGAGACAAATCTTGAGAATCCAGAATAGCCTTGACCACATGATCTCATAGCATATACAGCCCTGGTATTAATATCAAAACTTTTTTGTATATTCAGTGTTGAGGTGTAAAATTCTCTTGAATAATCACATACACAGCAGTTAACATTAAGACAAGACGCTAGACTTTTTCTCTTGTTTTCATTTTCAGAGAGAAACTACTTAGATGACATACATTCTGGACATCTAAGGGTAGAAACTATAGAATTTAGTATTTCTAAATCTATAAAATGGTATCCAGTAACTATATTACTAGATAACTTTGGATGTGATGAAATTTTTTTACTTTAAATGTGACAAAATTTTTTTATTAATTCTAATGAAATATGTGCTTCTGCACATATTTCATTAGAATTAATAAAGTTAAGATCAACTGGTTTCTCCATATTTACATTTACATCTTCAACACTTGTAATAACATTTATGTTCATATCTACAATATTCGATTCCATATTTATATCCATATCAATACTATTTACAACTAAGTTCTTTTTTACAATAAACATTTTTTTCCTTTTATGATTTTTAGTTCTTTGTTTAACTCTGCAAGCCTTAGCCATTGTAGAAGATTTATGATATATTTATGAGCTTTCCAGTAACTGTTTTTATACTAAAGTTGTTTTCCACCTTAACTCGCTCTTTCACTGCGCTAGTCTTAATCCGATGAGTTCTTTTGTTTTTCTTGACTTAGTATTTTTTATTGACTGGGTTTTATCCGTGTTTGTTATGTGTTTCTTTGCATTCATTTGTTGCATTTGTTATTATTATTTCTTTGTTTGTTATGCGTTTCTTTGCATTTGTTTTTTCTTGCTTTGGTTCACAGACTTCTGGTATGGTTTATCAATAACATAGTTGATTAGATTTTGATTGCAACTTTTTATCTAAATATAGTACACGGTTAGCACGGATCCTGATAATGTCATCCAAGCTGGTTCAAGGACGTCACTTAAATAAGATGGTAGCGTACACATCAAGGTACCCTATAATGTAAATTTTGAAATCATTTAATTTTGTCCGCGAAAATTAATTTAATTTAAACGTTTAAATTAAATAAAAACTTTACTTTATAGTGCGACAATAAAAACACCTCTAAAATCAGAATAACTTTATATAATTTGATAAAATGTGCAATGTAGTAAATGAGTGTACCAAACTCTGGATAAAATTTCAGCCATTTTGGTTAACTGGTAAAGAATTTATGGCAGTAAATTAAACTATGGTATTAGTTTATATTTTGTTAGTTTTTGGCTACTTAGATTTCAAAACATTACCAATTGCTGTGATATTCGACACTATTTTCAAACTAAACATTTACATGAGTATTCTACTGAGTATTATCAGCAATTTTTATTATAACTGTTTTGATCCTATATGTACCATTTTCATTCTATAGACAAAAAATATTGATATGCAAATCCATCGGTAGGATTATTTTTAAAATCAGAACATTGTCAGTCCAACTGATTGTTGGCTTTCAAATGACATTTTTTTAAAAACTTTGTAAGAGCAACACCCGCCAGATAGCTGAAAAGACTCAAAACTAGATGTGAAGGGTGTATAATTAAATGGGTTTGAAGAACACAAACTATATATGGAATTTTCATTTTGCCAAAATTAGTTAAACTCCAATTGCATTAATCAGAGAACAGATTTGTTCAATGTTGAAGTAAATTTATAGCAAATCTTCTGATAACGCAACAAGAATTTATCTCTAACCTCCAATATCTTTGCAAGCCATTTAAGTGAAAGGTTGTTTTTGAGGCTTTGAGCTGGTATCAACCCTTAACGCAATATCAACAATGATTAGAAAAAAATTGAGAAAACCTTTGCCATTATTAATTCCTAGTTTAAAAAATATCCACCAGAAATTTTTCGAGGTTGAATAACATTCACAAGACTTTGTAAATCATTGCAACAACCCAAACTGTACCAGAATCTCTTTTTTCCTTAGGTAATTTTTTATTCACTGCGGATGAAAAGAACCACTCGAGTGTTAACTTGCTCTTAAGAAACTGTAATAAAAAGATGGCTCTACCATATTGCTGCTTGAAGTTTAATTTAAAATTAAGAACAGTTTCTTTAATCATTTGTTTTATAGTCCCGTATTTAATTGTACATTCACAAGAGCTAGATAGGTCAATTTAGAGCGCTTGGGCTGGGGACTTTGACCTGAAAACAAAACATTTTTTATCTTTATATTAAACTTTTTTAGAAAATTTGCTTCAAAATTTCATATTATTTGTTTTTAAAGTGGTTAAAAACTTGTTAAAAATATACTTTGTAATAATATCTTGTATCTTTTTTAAAAGATTTTCTTTAAATATATATGTAAATTAATATATATAAGCATAAATATTTACCTGGAGTAATTGGCGGTAAGTAAAGGAGCACCAGATACTTTAGTAAGTCAAATAGTTCCTGCAGGTATAATTCTTTATAACTCGAGATGCAATTTGTTTGGCTGCTTTGACATCGTTTGCAGCTAAAGATTTAAGGTTTCCTTGAATTTCAGCAGGATCAGCAGGATGTTCAGCCGATTTGGCTTAAATAAGGTAATAATCTTGTTTTAAAAAAACTCTCTTTTGAACTCGTTTGAATTCAATTGATTTATTATTACCTTAGATCGTCTTCTACTATCACTTTAAACTTTCAAGTTTTTGTGTTTCTAACTGGATCTTTTGCAACGTCTTTTCTGTCAACTATTTTTGTCCAACCCAGTCTGCTAATTTTCCAAAAGTCTTAAAACGGTTCCTTAATGTTTTTACAAATTAGATTGGAATATCAATTGAAACTAAAATTTTAATGTTGATAGACTTTACTTAAAATTTATCATTTCAAATTTATCAATACTTTCGTGATACAGACCCTCCAGCCTAAAAAACTCATGTAGAAGGGCCTTAAGTAAACTATTCTGATTAATTCCTAACTCTTGAATGAATTTAAATTCTTATCATGAATAGATCCTTTTGATCTTTATGGAAAGAGTTGATTAAATTTTTTATATTTTTCACTTTCCGTAAATATTTTTTTAATTTTAGGTTGGATGATTGCTACTAAAGCATTTATGATTATTGGGTGCTTAACTTACTCTGCTGCCTTTGTATTAAGTTTGCTAAATTATCTGAAGCTAATAAAAAATCGGAAAATCTCTGGTGCTGTGCTTATTGCAACAGGTAAATTTGTTTGTATCATAGTAAACTGTTCAGTTATACCATGGAAGTATTATAGATAACTATTATATCTATAATACTTCCATGGTTATACGTATTAAATTCATTAATATTTAACATTTAAAAGTATTTTAAGATTAAAAGCTAACTTACATAATAACGGGATACACGGTTAAACCACACAATTTATGCATTACACAATCCATGAGCTCCTCAATACATTATCAAAACCATTTAAGCATAGTTAACTGCCATCTAAAAGTTCACTATTTATCAACATAAATTGTTTAATAAACATTATATTGTAAATATTTAATTTTATTTATATAGATATTATAAACTATATTTGAGACAGTTTCGAGTTTGCAAGGTTAGACTTATCTTATTTAAATTCAGTTTTAATGTTTTGAGAAAAAAAGTTATTTCAGAAGACAGGATATAAAATGATATTTTCGCCGCAAACGTTTTCACTGATAATTTAAGTTTCAGTAGAGTAAAAATACATACATCTGAAGCACATAACATAATCAATAATTCAAGGTTTTCAATTAGTGGAAACAAAACAAGATAATTCCTACCTAGCGATTAGAACTTCTAAGTTCCTAACCTCCGTAGTGCTGTATGTCTTAAATGGACCTCCGCACTGCTGTATGACTAAAACAAAAAGTTTTGAACTAGTCATAAAGTGATATAAAATTCACCTAAATTTTAAAAAATTTCAAAAGTGACCAGATTTCTTAGATTGAAAATCACTACAATAATATCAATTTTAGTTAGACTTGGACCTTATTTCACTGCGCTCTGCGTTGTTAAAAACAAATCTCTAATCACCATACTACAGCTCACTACACCAACAACAACCTCTCACTCAAAGGAATGGTAAAGACACTGGAGTCAAGAGACAAATTATTGTTGGGGATTCAGAAGATTTGCCAGAAATACACTCCAATATTGAACAAATCTGGTCACTGATTAATGCAAATGGAGTTTAACTAATTTTGGCTTGTGATATGAAAGTTACAAATATAATTTGTGGTCTTCAAACTCATTTAAGTACGCACCCTTGCACCTGGTGTGACGTCAAATCCAATTGTCATGCCAAATCTGATAACTTGCGAACACTGGGCTCAATTAATTCAAGCCTTGAGTCTTTTCAGAAATTTGGCGGAGTTGTTGCTAATGCAAAGCTGTTTGGCAATGTCATTCGAAAGCCAATCATCTGCGGCCTGTCAATGTTCTGATTTCAGAAATCATTTCACCGATGGAATTTCATCTCCTCTTAAGAATTGTCAACCATCTTTTCAAGATTCTTAAAACTGCTTGGATAGAAGCTGTTAAGTGGCCAGCCGCCCTCCACACTCAACTGAGCCCGTAAAACGGGGGCCAGTTTGAGGGAAATGAATACAGGAAGCTTCTTAAAAATGTGGATGTGCTACAGCAACTTGCTGAGACAAACATGGTTCCCAAATAATGTGTGCATAATTGAAGCATTCAAAAGTTTCAATTTAGTTGTCAAGGCTTGCTTTGGATCTATTCTTCAGCCGGATTTCGCTGAAAAAATTGAAAATTTCAAAAAGTGTTACTTAATGATAACTGGTGCAAGCGTAACACCCAAAAATCACGCCGTCTTCTACCACATCAAGGATTTCATCAGTCACAAAGGATCCCCCTTGGGGCTCTATAGTGAACAAACTGTCAAAACATCTCATCAAGATTTTTACAAACATCTCATCAAGATATTGGTCGAGGTATAAGCGAAATAATAATCATCCAGAGTACAAATAAAGATTGTTGCACTGCATAATTGATCTAAACAGTAAGCATCTTTAACGAATATCATTTGAGTTATTAGAAAATAGGCAGCTGAAATTCATACTTTACGGCGTATAATGAATATTTTCACTACCTTTAAAAGTAGTATTATAGAGTATTTGTGTTAAAAGAGTACATTGAGCTATTTATTAATAATCTTTTAGTAGATAAAATTAAGAAAACATTTCTTAAAATGTATTTAGATATTTGATGGTAATACAATGTAAAAAATAGGGTTTGAATAGTTTTCACTTCATTTTAAAAGTAATTGTATTTCAGGAGGTCAATACAAAATATTTTAGAAGATCTACTTTTTTTTTTGTTTTACTTACTGGTAGTCCTTTGACCAGGTTTTGCACTTTTTTTTAGCTTTTATTTTTGGCAGCAGTTTATACCTTAGGATACGTTGGTATATTCAAACGAAGCATGAATATACCAACATATTCTAAGGGGGTCATGTCCTTCTCTATTTTTTTTTTTTTTTTGCAAGGACCTTTTGTTTTAGAAATATAGCCATTTATTTTAGAAATTATGGATTTTATTTTAAAAATTGAGGGGTTGAACCCCTCCAATTTGAAGGCCATGTCGACACTATTAACATAATGCTATTTAAATCATGCTTTAAGTAGAAAATCACTATTTTGGTCTATAAATTGAAAACTGTACATGAACCGATAAAATAATTATAACAAAAATTGATGGTATTACATAGTAGAACACTGATGTAACCGTTATTTTAAAAATACTGACCGAATTTCAAAGAATTCGGTAACGCTTTGAGGTATAAGTAGCAAAAAACTGACAAAACCTCAACTAAAACTGCAATAAATCCTCTACCAGTTATCCAATCAGGCTGAAATTTTGTCCAGAGTTTGGTGTGACTATTGGCTACATTTGTATAAATTTTTATCAAATTAAATTGAGTGGTTCAAATTCTACAAATGTTTTTAATGGCGCACTATCGAGTCAAAATTTGACTTAATTTGAACATTCAAATTAAATTATTTTCCGCGGGCAAAATTAAATGATTTCAAAAGTTGTATCACAGGGTACCTTGATGTGTACGCTAACTTTTCGTATAAGAGGCGCTTTTGAGACAGCTAGGAAGGCATCATAAGAATCCGTGCTAATCGTGCGCATTTTGTCTAAATTAAAAATGTAAATTTTTTTTAGTAGACGTGTATTTTTTATGATAAATTTAAACATTTGAAACTATTTTTCCATGTCTTTCTAAAAATCTTTAATAAAATTTTTTTTTATACTAACCAAGTTCTCTGATTCCTAAGTAATTGCTTAAAAAAATCCATTCTTGATTATATTTATAAAAATAAAGCAACTTTTTATGTTTTTTTTTTTTAACGAAAACTGTTTAATCGAAGCATCTTTATCTAACGCTTTTGTCATCTGATGCTCATTGGAAAAAATCATAAAATTTATTTTCCGTATGTTGTGAGGTTAAGACATTGTATGAAATGTCTTTTATCATAATGAGGCTGCAGATCATTAGGACACTGCAAGATAAATCTTTCATACCTGTTAAACATATTAAAATATTATCACTGCAAAACTTTATATTTTTGTATGTTCATGAGTAAATAAATTAATGCAATATTACTAAGTTTTTGTTTGGTTGGCAAATGCGTTTTTTGTGCAAAAAATTTCTATTATTAGTTGCATCTCCATTAGTATTATTGAGAATCTGCCTGATGATAGTCATGTCTGATAATAAAAATCCATTTCTAATTTACAATGATATCAAGAAACTGTATGGGGATATAAATATTAAACTAAATAATGAAAATAGTTTGTGTAGGGCTAACAAACTTTCACTTAATTTTAAAAAAACGAACTGTGTACTGCTTTATAAAAAAGCAAAAAGAAATTCTTTAACTTAAATTGCCTAATCTTTTCTTAAAGAATAAATTAGTTAAAAAACAAGCTAGTACGAGATTCTTAGGAATTTTTTTCGATGAACATATATCCTGCCTTTCTCAAATAAAAAATATCCAGTCTAGAATCACCAGAAGTGTTGGTATAATATATCGAGTTCGCTCATACACCAATAAACAAAATCTTAAACTAATATCTTTTAGGCTGATTTATTGCTTCATCAACTAGGCATAATATATTTATCAAGGGCAAGTGCTCAACTATCAGAACTTAAAAAATATTTATATGAATGAAAATGATACATATATTTGAAATAAGTATCTATTTATCTCTAACATATACATCCAATTAATGAAAAAATATGGCAAGATTGTTCATTTCAGTATTAAAAAAATGAATTTTTAAAACTTGAGAAACGTTTGTGCTTAAGTAGTTACTCTAAAATTATTTTATTATTTTTTATGTTCTTTCTTTTTACCTAGTCCTTTTTTTTCTTTTTATTTGATTCACCACAACACTTTTATACTTGTTAATATTTTTAACAATTACAGCATTTTTGTCAAAATGTTATACGGGGGTTCAATGAAAAGATTCCGATAACATATTGTTATCTTCATCTTCTTTTAGCCTTAACTGTTTAATACTTTATTTAATACAAATTATTGTAAAAAAAAAAAAATATTGTATACATATCTTGATTTTAACTTATTATAAAGCGAAGTAAATGCAGAAAAAATTAAAAAAATAAAAAAGCTTTATGTTATTTTTATTTTATAGCTTTATTCTTGGTGGTAGGATTGAGTGTGTTCACTATCAAAGCTAATCAATACAAAAACATTAGTTATCGTTGGTCATACATAGTCGGTTGGTGTTCAACAGTAATTTCGATTGCATCCGCAGTTCTTTGTTTTATAATAAAAGGGGATAAAGAATCCGTATAACTTTTTTTTTTAAAGTGAAGATTGTACGTAAATATTTAAAAGAAAAGAAAAATATAACTGGAAAACTGATTTATTTATTGTCCTATTTACATCTTATAGTTAATTGGTGCAAACTACAAAAATGAAATTACTTAAAAATTACTGCTCCTATTACGTTTCTATTAAAACATTGCTGTTAACATATTGCTGTTAACGTTATATAAATAGAAGGAGGTGGGAGGGGAGCGGGTTAAGTTAGAAAGAAAAAAAAGGGACAAGAGGAAGGGGTCATCAGAAAATAAAGTAACTTTATAGATTTTTTATATACTAGTTTAAATAACATGAAAATCTATGTAAACATGTGTTTTTATGAAGTTTACGTAAGGTAATGTAATGTTTTTATTTATCGTAATTAAAGGCAAGAAAATCAAATTAAACTTTGTTTTCGTATAAAACAAAATTAAAATAAATATAAACTTGAATTTCTTATATATATATATATATATATATATATATATATATATATATATATATATATATATATATATATATATATATATATATATATATATATATATATATATATATATATATATATATATATGTCAGGACCGTAGGAACAAAAATTATATTGAGGTGGGGAGGGCAGTACTACCCCAAAATAGTTTGAAGGAACTTTTTTTTTTTTTTATTAGTAACTTTCTTCAAAATTTTTTTTAATATGCCCCTGCTGCCGGTTGCTACAGGCCTGTATATATATATTAAATATACAGTAAATTATATAATTTATATACTAAATTTATATATACTACAAGTGTAAATTATACATATTATAACAATATATGTACTACAATTTTTGGTAAACTGTTAACCTGTTGGTAGTTTTTCGAATCTCAAATATCAAAAGCTGAACGTTTATATAAAATAAAATCAATAAAAAAAGTTGTTTCTATAAAAAAAGTCAATTAAAAAGTCAATAAAGAACCGTAGCGTTAATGCTTTTTATTAGATTGAAGCTTTTTATTAGATTAAAGCTGAAATTCTTTGTGCAAAATTTGTCCCTAAACAGTAGCATAGCGACAAACAAAAAACATCCCTCACCCGCAAAATTTTTTTTTCTTTGCCATCCCCTTCCCTCTTCTTTTTGTAACAAAAATTATTTAAGAAAATAAAAACCTTATTTCTAAACACAATTTTACTTTAATTACATAGAAACCTGTTAATCTAGACTTATATACTGTAACACGCATCAACTAATCACGACTTTAGAATTAGCGGAGATTATTCTAACATCACATAATGTTAGGTTGTTAGTCTCTAGGTTAACCAACAATTTTCAAAATTGACTGTAACGACTTCTAAATTTTTTTATTATTTTTATTTATTTGTTATTTAGGTGCCGCAAGAAGTCCTAATGGTCTTGTCACAGAGCACCGCGGAAGTGCATTTAACTAGAAAGTTCACTCCTCCTTCATTAACGTGACGCGAATATGTCCAAACCTCGTTTTGAACCTTATATTTATTACTATTAATTTATTAATATTACTTTTCCTTACATTTTTAGAGTCTTTTTATGAAAATGATGATTTTGTGCAATGAACAATATCATTATATTAGTAAGTTCCCGTCTACCAATTAAAACAATGAGCTCATTAATGTTTGTACTAAATCGAGGTAGAAACAGCTGTTACCATCTTTACACAACGTTCTACAGCTTGTAGAACGTTGTGTAAAGATGGTAAAATTGGAAAAAGCAAAACAAGATTACATTCAACTTAACATTACATTCAACAGCTTGTAGAACGTTGTGTAAAGATGGTAAAATTGGAAAAAGCAAAACAAGATTACATTCAACTTAACATTACATTCAACAACTTGTAGAACGTTTTGTAAAGATGGTAAAATTGGAAAAAGCAAAAGAAGATTACATTCAACTTAACGATATTTTGGAAAAGTTACCGTGCCACACGGTAACTTTTCCAAAATATCGTTAAGTTGAATGTACAAGTGTTGTATCAGTTTAATGTTTACTTCACATTGATAATTATATATGGACGAGGCATGTTTTGATACATCAAACTTAGGTAATATTGCCATTTCCGGACTTTCTCAAAACAATTTACACAGCATTATCAATTTTTTACCAGATGCCGACGTTGATAAAATAAAGGCTGAACTATTCTCATTTGTGACTAACTATATTATTATTATTTTTTTTAATTAATTTATTATTATTATTTTTTGTCAAGCAACCATTTACAATTAAAGGTAATTTCCGATAAAATATTTAAAAATATTAAATACAAGTACATTTCATTATTTATAATAGTTACGAGACCGGAGAACCTAAAGAAGATAAAATCTTATAATCAGTAACCTTTGATTTGAAAAATTGGAAATAAAAGTGTATTATTAGAAAAAATCATGTAAAGAACCTTGATTGGCAATAAGTTCAGTTATATTCTTTTTAAATTTTTGAGAGTTACTGGCTTCTTTGAGTTTACCACTCAGGCTTGTAAAATGTTTCCATAGCATTGGGCCACTATAGAAATTGGCAAAGCTTTATATTTTTCGTTTATACACAGCTATCTTTCATACTGCAACATTTCCTGGGGTAGCACTAATCACACTAAACTCAAAAAAATTTATAGTAAACAAAAACATACTTGCAGGATAGTATTTGGGGCAAATAGAAAAACACAATGCGAACCTCTCTTACGTCAGCTTGGAGCTTTAAATATTTATAAATTTAATATTCATTAAGTAATGTTATTTATGTTTAAAGCAAAACTTGGGTTTTCTCCAGTAACAATTCAATCCTATTTTAATGAAATCTCCCATAAATATCCAACCAAATTTTCAGTGAATAACTTTGTGGTTCCCATAAACCTTCTTAAATTAAGTTCGTACCAAATTCAATATCGGGGACCTTTAGTTTGGAAAAAAATTCTTCCAATCTTTAGTTTTAAAAAAACTTCGTTTTAAACTGCACTTTGCAAAGTTTTAAGGATGATTCAAAACGACATTTACTGAACATGGAATTCGATATATTAGATTTCAAATACCTTTTTTGAAAACAATTTAAAGGTTTAAACTAAATCACTTAAAAATAAATTAAATCTTTATTACTTTCTTTGGCTTTTATAAAAGATAACTATTTTTGATGATATTAAATAATCAGCCCAAATACTAATGTTTACATATATTGCTTTTTTTTTTTAATTAAACAACGCATTTTTTTTTTGTGTTTTTATAACTTTCATGATTTTCTGTCGTTTTTACTTTTTTATTTTATTTAAAATTATTCTGCTGGAAGATTGTTAGCAACAAATTATTTTATTGTTAAAGTTTTTGATTTGTTTTTGTACTGTCTTTTTGTTTTTTATCATTTATTGTGCATGTAAATTTTTGTGTGACGGGGCTCGGTGATAAGACAACCTGTTGTCTTATTAACCTATGTCTTCTTTTTGCTCTGGCTAGGATTTTCTTTTATTGTAATTTCTTTTTTGTAATATTTATCAACGGAAAAATAAATAAATAAATAAAAAAAAAAATAATAAAATAAAAAAAAAGCTCGTAAGTTTTGATTTACGGAAAGGTTTTTTAAATCTTCCGGTAGATTGCGCGTTGTATCAGTTTAATGTTTTATGGAAACTATGAAATTTTGAAATTGTCCTTGCTCTTAACGACAACTTTGAGAGAGAATGCAGATCAAAAGGATGACGTTGAAGAAGAGCACTATTATCAGCATACTTATGGAGCACGTGAATCGTGTCCATTTTGTGTGTTACGAATTTTTGCTGCATACAGACTCAACGATAGAACCTATGAAAATTTGTATCATATAAAATAATATGTACTATTTCTGTAACACAAGCCGAATGTGAAAGATTGTTTTCTAAGTTAAAGTTAACTTAACACAAGATTGCGAAATTCAATGTCGAATGACCACTTAGAGTGGTATATGTTTATTTCTGTAGAAAAAAGTCTACTAGATGACCTTGAGTAAGCTTACTCAAGGTCATCTAGTAGACTTTTTTCTACAGAAATAAACATATACCACTCTAAGCGGTCATTCGACATTGAATTTGCTCAATTCAGAGGACGAAAATGCATATCTTTGAATGATTGTATCTTATAAGATACAATCATTCAAAGATATGCATTTTCGTCCTCTAAATTGAGCAAACTGTTTAAAGAATAGTTATTGCTATACTTTGCACTGTGCATATTGCACATCACTTGTACTTTTTTAATTCAATATAATTTTTTTAATCTGTGATTTAGCTGTTCCTCTTAAGGCTTATTTTTAAAAAGTTGCGGACCGGGCAGTCTTTGCGATATATGTATGGTCGGGAGGGCCCTTTAATTATTTTCATGGCCGGTAATATACAGCTAGTCCGCCATCTGAATATAGAAATCAGGGAGAATAGTTGTATTTCTGAAAAAAGTAATTTTCAATCCACATTAATACTCGGAAAAAATCTTAATTCGCCTCGAAATGAAATCTGTAATAAAATATTACATCCGCCTAAAATATCACATCCCCCATAGAAAAAACGAAAACGAGATTGCGCTTTCGAGTCATTGCACTTAGAAGCGTATCAAGTACGTCCGAAATATTAGTTATAAACAATATAACAAACACGCAACGAGGTTCACAAAAACTTTTTTCTACTAACATACTATAAATGAAGTTAGCATAAAATGGTAATATATTTTAAATTCATATTTATAAAATTTTGATCGTAATGTATTGCGTGACAATACTAAAAAAAATGTTACACATAAGGGATAAAAAACTTTAGGTTATAAAAATACCAATCGTTTGCAATATTTTAAAAGCCTACATAGGGGGGATGTGATATTTTAAGTAAGAATTCCAGTTTCTTTTTGTGACATATACAGTAAGTAAACCGAGGGAATGTGATTTTCTAGATACCAAATACTAATCGTTTAAAATACTTTGAAAATTGCTTAGGGGGATGTAATATTTTAGAAGTATACATATGGGGGATGTGATATTATAAGTGAGAATTTCAGTTTCTTTTTGTGACATATACAGTGAATAAACCGAGGGAATGTGAAATTCTAGATACCAAATACTAATCGGTTAAAGTATTAGTTGAATTACTTAGGGGGATGTAATATTTTAGAAGTATACATAGGGGGATGTGATATTTTAAGTGAGAATTTCAGTTTCTTTTTGTGACATATACAGTGAATAAACCGAGGAAATGATATTCTAGATTCCAAATACTAATCGGTTAAAGTATTAGTTGAATTACTTAGGGGGATGTAATATTTTAGAAGTATACATAGGGGGGATGTGATATTTTAAGTAAGAATTTCAGTTTCTTTTTGTGACATATACAGTGAATAAACCGAGGGAATGTGATATTCTAGATACCAAATACTAATCGGTTAAAGTATTAGTTGAATTACTTAGGGGGATGTAATACTTTTGAAGTAAACATAGGGGGGATGTGCTATTTTAAGTTGGTTTTTTGCTTCTTTTATGTGATATATATAGAGCTTACACTTGGGGGGGTTGTGTTACTCCAATGAGGAAATGTAAATGTTTTTTAAATTTTTTTTTAATTATTTTGGGGAATATTCTTGAAGCCTGCATAAGGAGATTTGATATTTTAATTTAAAATTTTAGCTATTATTTGCAAAATATTTAGAGATTACTTAAACAGTCTTTTTTCTTTTTTTTTAGATTTAATTGAGTTAACAAATTAAAAATGTATTGTTGATCAATCAATGTATGGCTTTCAACAACTTAAAGTATTATAACTATACAAGAAGTTACTGAAACTAAGAAAAAAAAGTTCACTTATTTGTGTTTTTATCTCTTAGTGCATAAACATTTAAATTGGTTCAATTTACGAAAAATTTTGAAGAAAAAGAAATAACTGCAGTTTGTAAAGTTTCACTTATTGTTACATTTATATATAAATTTTTTCACAACAAAATATAGTTTCATTTTTAAATACAATGCATCCCATATGATACTATCGATTCGGAATGCAAATATCACATTTTATCTAAAAATAAATATTTAATGTACATTTTTCTATTTGAATATTTAAAGTATTTTTTTCTATTCGAAATTTCTATTAAAAAATAGTTAAAATATATTTTGTTACCCATTTATCTTTTTTTTGATTTTTTCTAGTTTTTGGACCAATTTCACTACCACAAATTCGACACAAACTATTCTGCCAACTTCTCTGACTTATTGATTTAATTTTACATCATTTTTTTTTTGTTTTTATTTTAAGATATCATTTAACATTGAAGTAATGTAAACATGTAATGACACCCCCCCCCCCACGTGACGCCTACTCGCGCCGGCCCTGTATATATACATATATATATATTCACTACAGTTAAGAGTCCGAAAGTTACCTTAAGGCAGAATACTCCACATGATATACCATCAGCTTGTATAGCATGTGGTAACGTTAAGATTTTAAACTTTTCTGTAACACCATATCTTTGTTGTAAGTAGCAACTATAGCATATTAGTAAAAAAATTATAAAAGATGTAAATACAAATTTTTACATAGGAATATCTAATAATAATATCATACTTCCATTTCACTTCTTCTTTTTTAATGGAATTTATCTGTTCTCCCATAGGGTCCATATAGTGAATTTTTCTATCACCAGGTTTGATTATCTAAAACACAAATGAGTTACAAAATCAGGTTCAAGGTTAGATTCCCCGTAAAAAATTGTATCCCCACCTTTCACTGAAAATTAAACTTTTTGTACTTAAAGAAACTAACTTTTTCAAAAAACAATTTTACTATTTTACATACTACAAGCGTCCAATGGAATTTTGCCACCATGCAGCATATTAGCATATCTAGTTTAAAGAGCTCTTTCTATGAAGAAAGATATATATATATATATATATATATATATATATATATATATATATATATATATATATATATATATATGTAAATACATCATTAAGTTAATGAGTCATTAACTTTTTTAAATAAAAGTTTTTTAATACCTTATGCCTTCTTCGTATTAAATCAGTTTTAATAGGCAATTCATCCAGTGAGAGAAGCCCAGCTGGCGACAGTACTTCGATTCGATTCTTCAAAGCATCAATAAATGGAATGGCGTTTAATATATTGTTTTATATTTAGAATTAAAATTTTATTTAAATGAAAATGGATTTAAAAAAAAAATGCAATATTGTTTTTTTGTACAAAAACTTTATTATGAAGTACATTAGTTAATCATACCTTTTCCTTACTGTTTACTAATATTTTGAGATAAATATAAACAACTTCGTCACTGAGGCATTCGTTTAAAGTATCTTGTAAGGAATAATCGTATACCTTGCAGCCACCTATTTCTGGATATATACCCATAATGACTTTTACCGGGTTTATAATACGGAGACACTTTATTATTTCGTGACCTATTTATGAAATGCAATTTAAGCATAATTTCATCAAAATTTAAGCATAAGCCTTTCATCTGCTAATATAATGACTATTGCATTTATTAAAGATTACAGGTTTTATAATTCTACGCTAACTTTTCCACCAGGTGGGATAATGTTTAAATTAATTATTTAAATAGGTTTACATAAAAATCTTTATTTTACTGGTGCGCCAATGAATAATACATACCTTCTGCATCTTCAACTATGCAGCTTTTTCTTATATTTACTATCTCTAGAAAATTAAAATAAATAAAAACAAATGAAAATAAAACGCTAACAATTATAAATGAATAGGTAAGTTTTTAATACATACCTTTACTGTCTTTATCTGAAAAGTTTTTTTTTGTCTCTGCCTTCTCTAAAAAATATGCAATACTTGCCACCTCTAGAAAAAACCATACATTACAATAAAAAGCTAACACTAACAAAATATAAAGATAATTTATTATTAAATACCTTCATTGTCTTTAACTACCGAGCTTTTTATCTGATTATCTGTCACTTCTAAAAAATAATTAACTAAAATAAAACGCTAACAATTATAAATGAATAGGTAAGTTTTTAATACATACCTTCACTATCTTCAACTGGTTTCTCTGCCTTCTCTAAAAAACAAGCGATACTTTAAAATAAAACGCTAACAATTATAAATGAATAGGTAAGTTTTTAATACATACCTTCACTATCTTCAACTACAAAGGGGATTGATTTCTCTGCCTTCTCTAAAAAACAAGCGATACTTTAAAATAAAACGCTAACATTTATAAATGAAAAAGTAATTTTTTAAATCCTACTTTTACCATCTTTTACTACGAAACTTTTTTTTGTATCTGCCACCTCTAAAAAAAAACAATAAATTACAATAAAAAGGTAACACTAACAAAAAGTAATTGTAAAAGTAGTTTATTATTATATACCTTTACTGTCTTTAACTGAAAAGTTTTTCATATAATTATCTGCCTCTTCTAGAAAATAAATTGTAAATAAAATAAAACGCTAAGAATAACAAGTGAATAGGTAAGTTTTTAATACATACCTTCACTATCTTTAATTTCAAAGTTTTTTTATTGGTGTCTCTGCCTTATCTTGAAAATAAACCATAAAATAAAGTAATGAAAAAATTTATGTTTTGACTATAAATTAAAATAAGAAAACAAATATTTTACCCCACTATATATTAAAATGCAATAAAATTTTTTTTCATAGACCATAAATTAAAAATATAAAAGGAATCAGTTACAAAATACAAGTTACCGTTTATGCTTTCCATCGATGAATGTTTTTTTTCAATTTCTACTTCGTTTTTTGTTATAATTGTATCTAAAGTAGAGTATACAAGGGTCAAATTAGAAATAGTTCGTTATATAGCAATTATTTTCATAAAACTACTTTCTTCTCGGAATTAAAAATGATATTAGCTATTCGAAAACTTATACTTCAGTAGTGTGCATACCTTTATCACAAGTACCTGCGATAAATTTCTTGACATGGGCTCTTTTGTGGGTTCCTTTTATAATAACTTTTCTGCTACTCAGTTTGAAATTTCCACTTTTTGTAATACGGCTTACTTCATAAGGCCCTTTAAACCGTGGCTTAAAAGCTGCTCCTTTGCTTCTTTTTCCTCTAATATCAAGAAGTAAAACTTTGTCTCCAATATTAATATTTTCTTCGTTACATTTGATATTTTTCGAAACTCTTTCATCATAGTACTTTTTTTGCTTTAATTGAGCTTCTTCAATGTTCTAAAATTTATAAGTATAGTAAATAGAATAAAAGAATTCAAACAAATAGAGGATTATAGATTAGGTCTCAAAAATAAGATTTTTAAATTTAAGAGGCAGCAGCAATTACCTTAGTGACTATATTAGTTAAGTTTTCAATATGTGTTTTTTTATACGGGGTACAATGTCAAGTTATATCTATAGGCCATTTAGAAAATAAATCAGTACAACTCATGAAGTATTTGTTACCCTTTGATGTTTCAATAAATGGGCCAGCAAAGTCTATACCTATAATTTCCCATACTCTTGTTGTCTAAACAAGATGTTTTAACATAATGCAACATAAGAAAGTAAACATGATATGTATACATTCGTATAATTTACTAAATAAAAAATTCGTATTTTTAGAAAGTTGTTTAAAAACACTTTATAAAGTTACCTTTATATAATGCAAAGGTTCGGATACTGAAAGCAGTTGACCCGAAGTTTGACATCGAAGGCATTGTTTTATCTACGGAAATAATTATGTCTTTATTTCTTTTTTAAACTTTTATGTTAACTTACCAAAATAGACGGTAGTAGTTTCACAATTCTACTCCAATGATAAAGTAGATAAATAATGTATGCAAATGCATTAATTTATAAGCAAAATACTTTACCCATTTTTTAATATCTCCGGTAATATTAGGCCAATAATATTTTTCCAGCATTTTCATAATTGTTTTGTTAGTGCCACCATGGCTCCCTAAAGGACTGTTATGCTCTGCATCAAAAACTTTTTTTTGTTCTTGGACATCCACAACAATATCCGCATAATAAAAGTTTCCACAAATCTTCACTTTACGCTTCAACTTATTATCTAAAATTATAAAACATTTAGCAAACATACTTCTCATTTCAATGAAATAATTGCCTGGTCTTTTATTACCAATACCTAGAACACAGTAACTTTTTGACACATTTCTCAGACTTCGTTTTTCATCTTTTTGAAAGCCAGCTGGATAAGAGCTCTCACAATATACAAAAATATTTTTACAGTAATTTTCACTTTTTTCCATTTTTTTTTAACTTTAGAGATTTTCAAAATGTTAAGGAGTACATCAAACCTGTTTTCTTCTTTAGAATCGGGGACTATTTATATACATATATATTCGTAAAAAAAATCAATAAGTATGTCATAATGACTCATGAAGAAAGCAGTTAGACTCAATCATTAATCTTGCGGATATGAAGTAAGGAAATACTTTAACGTGCTATTAGGTTCAATGAGTTTCGTACTAGCTCTTATAGGAAACGATTATCACTAACTGTTTAACAACGATTTTATATATATATTTTAGCTACGCTGTATGTCTTGTACAAGTTTGATGATGCTTATACTAAAATTCCGTTTTAGTGTTACCCGTAGAAAATTAAACAAATATTATTTTAAAGAAAAAATAAAATATTTTATTATTAGAATGAACACTTTATCGAAGTAACAGGTATTTCAGTAACTTCTACAGATTAATATTATTTTAAAAAAACATTTCCCTTCTCCGCGTTTTTTATAGACGTTTAAAGACCTGTATTATGCGTATTAAAAATTAGACGCCTTTGAATAGCTATGGGTTTCTGAGACAAGTGTCTGACAAAAATGTCTTTTAAACTAAAATAAGTGAAGATAAACTCTCAACCTCAACTAATATATTTAAATATATAATGTCACTTCACTTTGTTTTAGCTCATTCTTTTTCTAGCGCTCATCTTTATTTAAACCTTTTAATTTTCTAAACTGATTAAAACGAGCTGCTTGATTCACGAAAAGGTTATGGCAAATATTATAAATAAGGACAATTTCTGTGCAGATTTTTTTGTTATGTTTATTATGGCTACGCGTTGGTACTGAACTCGTTGAATAAAAAATAAAACAATTTTTATTATAACAATTGATATAGTCAACTTTATTACCTAATTCAAGCATTTAAATTAAGCTACCACGCTCTCGTCTTTTTTTCAAACTTTTTGAATTCAACGCTATAAATCTGTCATTATAAGGATAATTTTTATTTGTAAGTGAAATCTTCCTCGAACAATCACGCACTTCAGCATTTGTGTCATTAATAAAATAGAAAGACCTAACAAAAGCAGAATTTTTTTAGTGTGGAAGAATAAATAGAGTATAATTGCTCGATAGTATTTTTTTTCAAAATTTTTATTTTTACAAACATGTGCTAACATTTGATGGAATATGTGTGCATATATATATATATATATATATATATATATATATATATATATATATATATATATATATATATATATATATATATATATATATATATATATATATATATATATATTTGTATGGCACTGTGGGCATAAAACAACATTAATCGAAATGTTTTCATATTAGAAAATTTTTTCATTATAAATTACTTAACCCTAATCACAATCATAACTTAATCACAATCCAAAAATTGTTTATGTACTTTGTCTTTTTCATCTTTTACGGTACATTATTCTTTATCATTTTAATTTAGTATGATATTGGATGATTCTTAATCCGAAATACACGATTTTATACTTATCGTAATAAATATAAATCAATTTTTCAACTACCACTTTAAAAAATTTGTATTATTTTACTAATTGTGAACTGGACTAAATATTATTAACTCACCGAGCCAGCTGACATGGAGTAGTTACGTAAAAAATCAGTAATCGAATTATATTTCCATACCAAACCATCAAAAGAAACATTAATATTTAAAAATAATTATTTAATATTGTTCCTTTATTAAAAAAAGAAGAAGCTTCTATTATTCATAAGTTTTAACTTCTTCATATTTAAAACTAGGAAGGTTTTAAATCTGAAGAAGTTAAAACCTTCCTAAGACACCACGCCTCAGCCCCCATAGGTGGACGTAATGGAGAAAAATTTTAAATTAAGCTATAGAATAAAAAAAGACAAACTGTAATTATTTATTTTCTTTTTAAACATTTTTTACATTAAAACTAGTAAAATATTTATGTTGTAAGATACAAAAACATTTAGAATAAAAACTTATTGTAATTAATTTCTTTACGTTCATTTTAAATCTTATGAAAATTTAATTCTATCAAAATTATATAAATGACTTCGTTGAACAATGTCACATGTTTTAATTGTTAACTTAATCGCATCAAAAGAAAATAAAATATTACATTAAAACTTTGAAAAACTAAATAAAATTATTAAATTAAAGATTCTTCATTTTATTAAAAGTTCTTTGAGTAAATATATAAATTTATAATAAAGATCTCCTCATCAGACTAGGACCCAAGAAATAAAAAATAGCTGACACTACTTGAGATAAATATCTTACTTAAATTACACATCGACCCTATGCAGGCTTTTAAAAAATTACATCCCCTTAAGTAAATCATAAATAATTCAAATATGTTGTAATTGGTAACTAGAATATAACATCCATCACTTGTAATTTCTGTATAAATCACATAAAGAAACAGAAATTCTTTCCTAAAATATCACATCCCCCTTATGAAGACTTCTAAAATATTAAATCCCCTTAAGTAATTCATACAATATATCAAATGATTAGTAATTGGCATTTAAAATATTAGATTCATCACTTGAAAATTCTGTGTGTATCACAAAAAGAAACTAAATACTTAAAATATCACATCCCACTATGTATACTTCTAAAATATTACATCCCCCTAATTAATTCATAAAATACTTCAAACAATTAGTTTGAAATATTGTTTGAAACTAAATTTCTTAGTTACAATATCACATCCCCCTAAGTATACTTCTAAAATATTACATCCCCCAAAGTAATTCATATAATACTTTAACCCATTAGTATTTGGTATCTAAAATATCACATTCCCTCGATTTATTCACTGTATAAGTCACAAAAAGAAATTGAAATTCTTACTTAAAATATCACATCCCCCTAAGTATACTTCTAAAATATTACATCCCCCAAAGTAATTCATATAATACTTTAACCCATTAGTATTTGGTATCTAAAATATCACATTCCCTCGATTTATTCACTGTATAAGTCACAAAAAGAAATTGAAATTCTTACTTAAAATATCACATCCCCCTATGTATACTTCTAAAATATTACATCCCCCTAAGTAATTCAACTAATACTTTAACCGATTAGTATTTGGTATCTAGAATTTCACATTCCCTCGGTTTATTCACTGTATATGTCACAAAAAGAAACTGAAATTCTCACTTATAATATCACATCCCCCATATGTATACTTCTAAAATATTACATCCCCCTAAGCAATTTTCAAAGTATTTTAAACGATTAGTATTTGGTATCTAGAAAATCACATTCCCTCGGTTTACTTACTGTATATGTCACAAAAAGAAACTGGAATTCTTACTTAAAATATCACATCCCCCCTATGTAGGCTTTTAAAATATTGCAAACGATTGGTATTTTTATAACCTAAAGTTTTTTATCCCTTATGTGTAACATTTTTTTTAGTATTGTCACGCAATACATTACGATCAAAATTTTATAAATATGAATTTAAAATATATTACCATTTTATGCTAACTTCATTTATAGTATGTTAGTAGAAAAAAGTTTTTGTGAACCTCGTTGCGTGTTTGTTATATTGTTTATAACTAATATTTCGGACGTACTTGATACGCTTCTAAGTGCAATGACTCGAAAGCGCAATCTCGTTTTCGTTTTGTCTATGGGGGATGTGATATTTTAGGCAGATGTAATATTTTATTACAAATCCCATGTAAACGTGCCCATAATGTGCCCTTAATAAAGAAAACGGCATCTTCTTAAATTAAATTTAGTATCAACATCTATTAATTTTATAACATTTTATTATCTTTTATCGAGGTCTTGTTTATTTAAATGCTAATTTACTGATAACCAAACTAAGGAGTTTTACAAAAATTACTTGTTGATAGTTTATATCAAATTTGCAATTTATATAACAAAAATTATTTTTAATGTAATTGCAATCAGCAACTTTAAATAATGCCTGGTTTACCTTCTGGTTGGGTTGAGAAAACTTCCAAAAGTACTGGTAAAAAATACTATTTCAATACCGAAACAAATGAAAGTCAGTGGGAGAAACCAGACAATGAAGAATTCCAGGTTAGAGCTTCACATTTATTAGTTAAACATAAAGGTTCAAGAAGGCCTTCATCATGGAAGCAAAATGTCATAACCAGAACTGAAGAAGAAGCGTTAGATATTATTAAAAGTAAGTAATGATTATCTTATTAAAAGTAAAGAAAGTAATTAAAAATTTCATTATTTTTTGAATAATCATAAAAGTTATATACTTAACATGTTTCTCAAAAATGTTAACAACAATATATTTACCAGTAAATATTATGCAAAGATGTTAAATAACATATTACCGACTAAAAGGTTCACTCTCATATAGCCTGGCTAAAACAAGGACAGCAACTTTGTAAACAATACAAATTTATAAAGGACAAGGATAAGAAAAGAAACAAGTTTTAAATAATAAATACAAATAAAATATAAAAGAATAAATGAAAACAAACCCAAAGAAAAGCAAAAATTAGAATAGAATATATATATATATATATATATATATATATATACATATATATATACATATATATATATATATATATATATATATATATATATATATATATATATTATATATATATATATACACACATATATATATATATATATATATATATATATATATATATATATATATATATATATATATATATATATATATATATATATATATATATATATATACGGATATGAATATATAAACATATATAAATAATACACTGGTGGAAAATTATTGTCTCTAATTAAGTGAATTTAAGAAGAAGAATTTATGCTTTTTTTTTTACTTTTTTAATTTAATTCACAGAAGTTAGGTATATGTGTAAAAATTTTATTCTAATTTTTTGTTGATTATTATACATCATTGGAAAGAGGGTAAAATCAGCATTACAATAGTAAAAATTTCATTTCAAAATAACAATTCTGCAAAAAGTTATGATCATAATTTTTAAAACAGTTTTAACAACTAAATGCTTATCTTGTATTAATTTCTTCAGGCTTACTGTAAAGCTCATAAAATAAGTTTGTTGTAACGCTGATTAAAGTCTAAAATGTTCAAATTGACCCTGAAAATATGAAAATATGGTAGCTTAAACTCATTTAAATTTTTTGATAGTTTTGATTTTGATATGCTAGACCTTTTTTTAAAAATACTAACCTCACCTTTTTATATATATATATATATATATATATATATATATATATATATATATATATATATATATATATATATATATATATATATATATATATATATATATATATATATATATATATGTATATATATATATTCAGTGTGTTTTAAGTATCTTCAAGTTCTATTGATAAACTCTTAAATCTTTTTTCAAACTTTGGATTATCTTTTTCTTGTGTTGGTCCAGTATTTCAATAAGTTTCTTTTCAGTGAAAGATATTTGAGTATTTATGGTAAATAATTTTATAAAATAAATTTGATATAGTTAAAAATAGTGCATTCTTGAAGGTGGTTTAGTTAGGCTGCTGGAACAGCTTTTTTTCAGGCAGTAATCTTTACGCACCATTGCTTTAACTATGTTTTTGATGTTTATTTTTTATATTTTATTATTGATATTTGGAATTTTTAAGACATATAATAAGATTTTAATATAAAAATGACCTTGAATTTATTTTGAAAACCTTAAAATGCAAAAATCAAAAAAAAAACAAACAAACCTTAAACCGACTTAAAATTTTGTACTTAAAAAACACTGCCCACCCTGAATAAATATCCTTAGATATTGTCTGCCCAAACCCTATGTATGTACACAGGAGGCTATTATGCTATGATATAATCCATTTGTATTTCATGGCTAGTTATATCCAATATTTATTAATAGATACTCTCTGTAGATACTCTCTGTACCCTCAAAATAATAATAATTTTAATCAAAAACAAAATCTTCTTTTATTTATTTATAGATTTAAGTTTTTTAATCATAATAAGTTCATTTAGATTATCATAAACAAATCACATCTGGCAAAACCACACTTGCAGCATTAGCTCAATCAGAAAGTGACTGCAATAGTGGAAAAAATGGTGGTGATCTTGGTTTTTTTGGTCCTGGACAAATGCAAAGTATGTGAAATAATTTCAAAAAATTTATAAATTGCAATTGTTATCACCTTATAACAAATTATTATAGAGACAATTTTTTTTAAATTAAATCATTTAATTGTTTTTTTTTCCTGTTGTAGCTAAGTAATTTATTTAATAATTTATTGACAATTATCTATTTATTAGTTATTTATTAGTGCTATTATTGTTATTAAGTATTTTATTATTTTTCATCAAACATCAAATAAAATAGTAATGCAAGAGTAATAATGAATTATATATTGAAAGGCATACAGTGCAGTCTAGTGATATTTCTTAACTGCACTGAAACTGCATTCTATATATTTAAGCTTTTGCAGAGTGAATAGAGCAACATAATTGGCAAGATTTTTGCATGGTGTTGAAATATTTATGTTTGGAAAACACTGTAATAGGTGCCCAATTATTCCAAACAAAATCCAAAGAAAAAAAAGGACTTTTTTTTCTTTGGATTTTTGAAGGGTCTTTTTTGTTTTGTCATAACAGATGGGTGCATTTAAGCATGATTTTCATCAGCTTTGTCCACAAATGCACTAATGGATGGTCTATTATTTCTAAGAAGTCTTGTGAAGTTTTCTTAAATTAAAAACTGCTGGTGCAACCATACAGAAACCATTAGTTAATGATATTGGTATAAACGAAGATTTTTATTTATTTATTTTGATTCTTTCCCAACAAAGCTGTAAGCAACCACTATTAGGTTGGGAGGTACTAGAAAAAAAAAGAATAGAGTTATAGAGCAAGAAAACATATGATAGAAGATATACGAGACAGGAAAACATGAAGATGGTAGAGAGTTCCAAAGGGTTGAAGTGTAGGAGAAAAACTTGTCAAATAAAAGTTTTCAAATAAAAGGGACAGATACAGTAATCAGATGTGACCATGATAGTATTTGTAGAAAAGAGAAAGAGATGCAACTTTACAATGATGGAAAAGAGGCTCAAGCTTAGCAGATATAGCAGAGCCAACTACATTTACAATGCGTTTTTTGACCTTGTCTATAAGAGAAAGAGCATCATTAGATGAACTAGCCCAAATATGACAATAGTATTCCATACAGGGAGGAATAAGAGATTTGTAGAAGTTAAGAATAGAATCAGAACTAAGAAAATAGAGAGCATGATAAAGAGAAGCAACCTTAGCAGATGTTAACTTTATGCTAATTTAGCCAATCATCAATATAGAAATGTCAACAGTACTGCGATAGTAGTTTGCAGTAAATTAATTTTTTTGGAGTTAAAGTTTACCAGCCATTGTGAGCCCCAATCTGTTACAGAAGTGAGATTAGATTCAAGATCGGCTGCCTGTTCTAGCGATTGGAAAGAGAAGACTTTTTGTCAAGACAGGAGTATAAAGTTGAGTCATCAGCAAAAAGAGCTACTTTAGATGTAAGGTTGTCAGGAAAATCATTAGTGTAGATAAGAAACAAAAAACAGGACCAAACCTTGAGGTACTCCAGAAGTTACTAAAAATGAAGAAGAATGTCGACCTTCGAAGAATGTCGACCTTCGAAGAATGTCGACCTTTGAAGAATGTCGACCTTCGAAGGTTGACTTTAATAAAGCAGTTAGAAAGAAATGGTTTGATAGTCTCAAAAACTTTTCTGAATACACCATATAAAACAAGCTTGTGGAGAAGACCAGCATGCCAAACTTTGTTGAAAGCTTTAGATATGTCAAGAGCAATAGCCATAGCCTTCCTCAGGATTCAAATCAGGGAATTCAGGGAAAGTCAGGGAAATTTATATATGATCAGGGAATATCAGGGAAAAAAGATTAATTTTGTTAAAAGTTGGCGAAAATCAGGGAATTATTTAATTTTATACTATTTTATTTTAATGTTTTTAATGTTTTATAGTAAATAATATTCATTTTTTAGTTAACTAATTAATTATACAGCTCAAAAGATTGTTCAAATATATTTTATTTGATCATTATAAAAAATATTAAATTTTATTTTGGTCATTTATTTACGGTGTAAACCAAAAGTTTATGCAAAACATTTTATGTAGGTTTGAGTAGAATCATTATTAGTAATTTAAATTTATTTAAATTTATTAATTTAAATTTAGTAATTTAAATTAAATTTATTTGGTACTTTTTTGTGTAGAAATAGCTCCAACATTTAAAGACTTTCAAAGTTTTTTTTGTATAGATGCATATAAACATAGCTGCAACATGTGAAGACTTTTAAAGTTTTTTTAAACCATTTTGTATTTTCATTCTCTTTTTTTAGAAAAAATAAATATTTTAAATTTTCAAATGACAGTTTATTTCAATGAACTAAGTTTGAGTGATCCTTTGTTGAAAAAGTGGCTGGTAAATAACTCAGATAAAAATTCAAAACATGCCAAATTAAATTCAACTTATCAAATATAGATCAGAGAGCTGTGACAAGTCACATGGAGGGGTAAAAACATGTTCAAAAAGTCAAAACCAGTATCCTGCTACTTCACACCTGTACAGTCTACATCTAAAATCCAAGGAGTTACTATAGTTAATCAATCTGACCAAACTTGTGCAGAAATCTCTTTTGCATGCAGTACAAAGCAATTTCTTGTGTAATAAGAATGGTCTGCTATATCAAAAAATAATTTCTAATAACACAACTGTTAAATCTTATGAGATGGGTAAAAAAAAACTTGGGTATTAATTTGGGTTTTAAGCATTGTTTACACATACTTTAAAAGAATTATCTGGAAATTCACTTTTCATTTGATTAAATATTTTGAAAAGAAATATCACCTTTTTGTTTGATAAAAGCCGAAATGACTCTTTTTAAAATTTGATTTAAGTGTTCATTTATGGATTTAAATTGTGTTAAAAATATTTTGACTCAATTTTTGGGCTACCCTCCTGCAAAAAAATTACTTGAAAGTATGACCACATCTTTGAATTGATTAGTTGCATAAATCTGACAAAACTATGTACAAAAATAGCCGAAAATAAACTGGTTATTTCTTGATCTTATTAAAAAGCAGCCTAAGCAACTAGAGCTACATAAACTTCTAAAATTTAGAAGTTGCAACCATCATGTCATCCATGGTGTTTTTAAAACTGGTTTTCAATCAAGGAAGTTAATGAAAGCTCCATGCAACCTTTTACATGGTTCTCCTATCATAAGAGCTGATTATGTAACTTTCACTGAACTAAACATAAATTAACTTTTACTAAATTGAATTTTTTTTTTGGTTCCATCGCTAGTAGACACCCCAATGTTTTCAACTCTTTGAAGATTTGTTTTCAACTGATTAAAGCCTAATGAATTTAATACACAAGATGTTTTATGCAGCATCATCAATAGCTAGTAGCTTCTAAAATTTTATTTCACTAGAAAACAGAAGTTTCTGCTGTTAAAATCAATGACAATTAGTTTTGCTGCAGAACGTAATGTTATGGAATTGAAAGAGAAAAGGTGTCATCTCAAGATCGATATATTCATGAAAGATTTTTGACTTATAGTTATTTAAATTCTTGAAAAAAATTGAGGCAACATCAGTTCAGAGTAAATCCTATTAAAAAAAAAAAAAGCTGATTTTGAAGGCCCAACAAGTAAAAATCAAGAATAAAAGACTGTTTGTAATGCCTCGTTAAAATTTTATAATATCTAGAGGAAAAAAAAAAGTCGCGAACAAAAGGAGTTGAGAGTAATTTGATAATATCGTTGAATCAAGTGGTATTAGGATTTTAGGAGCAGGAAAGAGTTTTGAGTGAAGTATGAAGTATGAAATGCAAATTATTATTGCATTTCTATTTGTTTAAAATATTTTAAGACCAATTTGCTTTTTTCAACTGTTTTTTAAAAAGGGTACAAAGTATTTAATGTTTTTTTTATCAAATAAATTATTGGTTTTCAATTTAAAACAGAAATATAAAAATTTCTTATATATAGAAAGCAGACGACAAAGTTTTGGGGGTAAAAATAGCATGTATAAGAGTCGAAGTTTCAATGCTAAGTTATTGAGTAAAAATTATAAGCAAAATTTCATTATAGAAATCAGAGAAAATCAGGAAATTTTATTGTAGAATTATAGTGGTAACCTTGTCCTCCATCTAAAGCATGTCCCTGTCTCCATTTAAAACCATTCAATCATTGTTCAGTCACAGGAGATCAAAAACGCAAGTTACAGATCAAAAATGCAAGTCAGCAGTAGAGCGAGAAAAACTGTATTGATTGTCTGACAGTATTTTGACTTAAGATAGGATGTGATTTGTTGTTGCAGTAAGAAGTTTGATTTGTTTTTTTTGTGAAACTATTTAATTCGTTTTGTTGCAGAAAAAAACTTTTTAATTTGTTTTGTTGCAGTAATTCGTTTGATTCGTTGATTTATTGTTGCAGTAAGTCATTTGATTTGGTCTTTTGAGATGTGAAAAGTTTGTTGATCAATGACTCAAAGACCTTGTTAATAATAGAAAGAAGATCAGGCAATAATTAGATAGATCAGAATGTTCTCTGGAGTTTTTGAAAATTGGAACAACAGATGCAATTTTCAAGACTCAGTCAAGCACTTATTAAATAGTTTAAAGAGAATTGAAACTTTAAGAGAATTGAAAAGAGTTCTGTAGAACAATTTTGTTTATATGTATACTTATATATTTATATTTATCAGGGATGTGAAGTCAGAGTTTAAGAGTCCCTTTTTTTACCTGGAGTCCCGTCTGTTATAAAAATTGTTGGGATTTTTTTAATTTTATATCAGCATATGAACGTTTTCTAACTTATCGTTATAACCTTATAAATTTATTAATTTAAATTTGTTTAACCAACAGTTACATAAAGTTATAGAGAAAATTTATTTTTACATTGTAAAAGCACAAAAACATGTGCAGTGTGTTTGTCATACATTGCCTATAGCAGACATTGTTTTAATGAATATAAGAGGCAAATAACAGTATATGTGGTACACAAAATGTTTGGTATGCACTGAAGACTAGATACCAAATTATTCTTAAGTTAGGGTTGTCATTGTCCCGGGTTTTTTTTATAGGAAAACGCAATAAGAATTTTAATTTTAGTTTAGTGCTTGGCTTTTTTATGTAAAAACCTGGTCAAATTTACCTTATTCCACTCTTCCAGCAATGCATTTTTAAAATTATTTTTATTATTTATGGTATGTTTACGAACTTCTAAGTTTAGTTTATGCCATAAATTTTCAATAAAAATAATTTCAGGAAACTGGTGGAGTTTTTATCACTAAATTTATTTTAAAAATTATTAAGTTTTCTTTGAAGTATATTATTTTGCCATATTGCCCTCAATAAAATGTAAATTGTCCACCCCATTAGCGGAGCGACAACCTCAAACCATCACATGTTTACATACCATTACATACCACTATTACACATCATCATTACATACCACCACCATGTTTTACAGTTAGCCTTAAATGTGGAGGTTTCATCTCTTTGTTCTCTCTTTACCATACATTTACTCCAAAGGTGTTAAATTTACTTTCATGAGTGAATTAAACATTCTTCCAGAAGTTAAAATCTTTGTTTTTGTAATCATTTTTCTTAAATCTCTATGAGTTGTTTCTGGATTTACATTTTTTCCAAATTGTTGTTTTACTTGAATGGCAAGTTTTAGTGCACTTAAATGTGGATTATCTTACAAAGTTCGGACAATCCAACGTTCTTTTTTTAACTTTTTTTTTTATTTTATTTTCATATTGATAATGTTCTATAATATGATGTACTGTTAAGACACTTTTATTAACAATTTTTGAAATTCCTCGTTGTTGTTTTTTATTTTGGAAATGAAATATGATTGTCTTTCTTTGAGAGTCGTATGTCTTCCTATTTTAATTTGTATATTTTAAAACACACACAAATTAAATAACAAACAGATTAATAATTAACAATATTAATAATATTTTGACAGAAAACATACTAAAAAAAAATTAATATTGTAATTGCGGTTAGTTACTTCCGATTTTTGAGAGATGGCAATAGATAAAGTTGCATCATTTTCACTGAGACATGTTTTTTACGATAATTAATATTTTTTATATTATTGTTTAGAAACTAATTTAAATCAACATAAAAACAAATGTCTAATTTAAAGATTATGCCACAATGCATACTTTACATAGAATATTTTCAAAAATTATCTTTTACTTTGTTGCATCATTTTTACTGTGAGTCACTGTATATATAAATGAACAATAACAAGTTGTTTTGATAGGTGGTTTTAACATATTTTTGTTTGATTTTTAGAATCGTTTGAAGAAGCCGCGTAAGTTACAAAATTTTTATTTTTGTTTTTAGTAATATGCTTCTAATGTAATGTTTTTAGGTTTCAAAATCATTATTATTTTTTTTTAGGTTTGCACTAAAGATTAACGAAATGAGTGGTCCTGTTTATAGTGATTCTGGTATTCATTTAATACTTCGCACTGGTTAGAAATGTATATATATATATTTATATATTGGGAAGCATTAAAATGTAAATTTAAACATTAGAGTCAAAATGAATTTATTATATTACTTAATAAATCATTGCGAACCCAAAAAATCGTGTAAAATTATTCCTATTTCTTATGTAAACAATGATTATGTTAACAAGTCATAAACTGAAATCTTTTTATTCAAAATAAATATTATTTCAACCAATTGTTAATTACAAACGCTATGTAACACAATATTTGTCCTTGAATTTAGAGTTTTATATCAACTACCTCGAGCATAAACTTTTATTTTATAACACAGCGCAGAAAAGGTTTTTGTTTTTTCTGAGGTAGAACAAGAAAAATTTCCTTTTTTCGTTTAGTCTGGTAAAAAACAATAATTGCTTATTGAATAAACAGACAGTAAGAATTCATTCAAGTAGCGTCGAAACGAGTAAATTTTCTAGATTTGCGAGTGTGCTGTAAATCGTATTCACGTAGTTGTTACCAAATGTTGTGTTCACGTAGTAGCTCCCAATTCCCCATGATGAGTTTGTTATTTTATCTTTGATAAAGTCTTATGAAAGCGCTTGCCTTGCTTCTCTGAGTAAGTTTGATTTATCAGTATCACCCAGACAAGTCCAGAAAAAGTCAGTCCATCGCTAACCTAAAACGCAATTTAGATAACTATGAACAAAGGAAAAATATAACAACTTTAAACAAAAACTTAATAAGAATTTCGCTTCATTAAGTAAACTAATATTTCTTAAAATTTTATTTTTAAGAAAATGTATATAATCTGTCCAAGTTACGTTTCGTCAAGGAGTACACCTAGAAATGCAACGAATACTCTCTTTCTTTTCTCTGCTAATACAAAGTATTGGAAGTTTTTAAGGGTTTTTTATTGCTTCTGTGAAGTCGATGAAACAAGGTATTTTTTGTTTTAGTTACCTGTTAACTGAATTAAGTAATATTTCTACATTGTGATAAGTTCTAACCGAAGTTCTGCCATCATAAGGAATGATACTAATTTTAAGTCGACGTTGAACTTCCATCCAAAGTGTTCAAACTTTAAAGCACTCATCAACATCTTGACACCGTTGCTTCTTTGTGATGCACATAGTGAGTCATCGGAACAGACGGATAGTTAATTTTGTTGTAAAGTAGCACAGCTTTGAGATAAACTGTCTATACATAGTCGCTATTCACTAGAGTTACACTCAATACTATTAAAGGTGGATGATCCCTTTTAGAAGGAGTGAAATAAGCAGCTCGGGGCTGTGCGGTACTGAGGCAATGGACAAAAAACCAAAAAACTGTCTGAATAAATGATTGAACTGGCTAAGCATCATTTTCTGGGATTAATAATGCTGAAGTAGCAATTTTTTAAGTGGCCTCGAATTTGCAGAATAGCAAACTTTATGGTTTCCAACTCTTCCGTATAAAATAGCACATTTAACTAATTTTATATCTTTTATAACTAATTATACATGAAAAATAAGTTGTGATAAAAATCTATTTCGTATACATTCATCATTTTTTATATTTCTCAATAAGGGTTTAGTATGCTTCCCTCTTTTTTTCCCGTATATACACGCATATTTTTGCAAACTAAGTATTTTTTCAAGTTTTGACGGTTGTGTATTAATCCAAGTAATATTAGCATAGTTAATGAAACAATGAATTTAAAGAAAAATATAATAAATAGCGTAAAAGTAGAGTGTAGAACTTCAAATTTTCAAATGTTGAGCGAAATTTATCATTTTTAAGTTTTTCTGGTTAAGATGTACTTGTTCCCAAAAGTGACCTCTGAAAAATAGTTTTTTTCAAAAAATAAAAGTGTATAAATTTTTTTGAAACGTTTTTTTTTTTTATTATCATTTTTTTTAGCTCTACAGGAATCGCTCAACTAAAAAAAATAATATATGTTTTCATATATTTTTGGAAAAAAAAAAAAATTTGTATTGTATTTGTAAAAAACTGTAATTATTCGGAAACGGCTAGTCTTGTAACTACAGGGACGCTAGAACTTATGAAAAATCCTATAAAAAAATTTAAAATAACGGCAATGGTGCTAATAATAAAGTTGCAAAATGTTTTTTTCCCAAAAATTTATAGTTTTTGTTTTATGTCCAAATAAAACTGTAAAACTGTAAGATTTTTATAATAAAAATTATTTGAAATAAATAGAATTTTATGAGTTTAATAAGACTTTATAAGTATTTTATGACTTTAAATTTATCATCTTGAAGTTAATTATTTTTTCTACGAGTTAATTTTTAGCTAATTTTATAAATTATTAATCAATAAAAATATTTATTTTTTCTTGTTTAAAATTTAAAAAAAAAAAAAAAGTATAACTTGTGTTGAAAATTTCATTAAACCTAAGAATATGCGCTGCAACTTTCATCAAACCTTAAGCGCTATTTTATTTTTTAGTTTTTCTGCCAGAGAAAATTTGTGATCTTTTTTTACTTTGTTTAAATAAATTTAGCATTTGCTTAAATAAATTAAGCATTGCGTAGTTTATAGACGATATAGATTATTTTAGAAAAATAGCCAGTAAAATTAGAACTTTCGGCTGATATTTTACTTTGCCGTAATGCTTGATTCCGGTCATTAAAATAAACTTCTTTTTTATTTTATTATATATTATATTCACTTGATTTTTTGCACTGGTACTATTCACTGTTTTGACTTTTTAAAGCTTCACTCTCTCACTCTCAAAATTTTACGGCACTTTTTTTTAACTTGGTTTTTTTTATTTAACTTGGTTCGCTGCTGTTTAAATAAAAGTCGCTGTAGTTGTTTTTGAAGTCGCTTTGTTGTTGTTGAAGTCACTGTTGTTGCTGCTGAAATCGCTGTTGTTGCTTGAATTATGTTCTCATCATGAAAGTTATTTTTTCGTTTTTAATATCTTTCTTTCTCTTGAGTATTTCAAATTTATTGAAACATCCTACTACGATTTTTGGTCTGCGTTTTTTCTTTTGTGTGTGTGTGTGTTTTTTTTAATACAAAACAATTATTACAAAACTCCGAAAAGCATTTTAGGTTGACTACAACTTCATTTTGAATTTTATTTATTCAACATCGAAGGTTAAACTTCTGATATTGAAGGTTGACTTTAAAGATAACTTTGAAGCTAAACAACGTATGCTAATGATAGTTATTGCTGTAAACTCAGAAGACATTAATTATTTCTGTAAACTCAGAAGACGAAATAGTTTTTGGTACTGGTTTTGGTACTGGCATAGATTCTGTTGGTTAGGCGACTCTGGTGGTTGAGTGACTCTTGTGGTTGAGTGGTTGATGAAGATTCAGGTTGAGTTAATGGTGCTTCAAACGTATCACCACTATAATTTTGAGTTATCATTTTTATTGATTTCAATAGGAAAAAAAAAACAAACGGGTATAAAAACGATTGATTACTTTTGTGCATATAAAACCTTAACTGGAACTAAAAACCCTGGGATCGATTTTGATTAAATTAAATTGTTAATAAATAAATTTGGTTAAATGCTGTTAATTCAATGAACCACGTGATTAATTTAGTATACCAATACTTTTCAATAATTTTTTTGACAATACTGACAATATGTTCCTAACTTTATTATTTTGTTTTAAAACATTAAATAAATCATTATTAAGTTATAAACTTTAAAATTATCTCGCACAAACTAAAGATCAAACTATTATTTTTTCTTTACAAATATATTGTAATAAAAACTAGCAAAGTTAAATTTATGTTTAGAAAACCTTTTTAAAACAAGTTCTCTCAGAGATTTTTTAAAATTTGAAACCTTTTTTTTCTATTTTAATTTGAGCATTTTTACAAATGTATTTTTATCATTAAAATTTAGTTTTCGGCTTTTATATCTATTAAACCGCCATATCCGAGGCTTTAAAAATTTTAGAAGACAGAAGTCTTATTATCAAGCCTTTAGTAAGCGTAAAGTATTTTAGAAGACAGAAGTCTAATTATCAAGCCTTTAGTAAGCGTAAAGTATTTTAGAAGACAGAAGTCTTATTATCAAGCCTTTAGTAAGCGTAAAGTATTTTTACAAATTTCTCATTATATAAATTTACTCACTATAAAAAGCAAGTTAAAATAAAGTAAAAATAGTTACAATAAAATATGATAAATAAATAGTTACAATAAAATATGATAAATAAATAGTTACAATAAAATGTGATAAATAAATAGTTACAATAAAATATGATAAATAAATAGCTTCAATAAAATAAATTGCAACAATAGAATAAATAAATAGTTTCAATAAATATGATAAATTGCAACAATAGAATAAATAAATAGTTACAATAAAATACGATAAATTGCAACAATAGAATAAATAAATTGAGAAAGTAAAAAATATAACAAGAACTTTGTTAAAAAAAAAAAATTCAGGTTATACTTTTCATCTATTTATTTAGAACTATGTTGCATAGACAATCTATTTATGAAGTTAAGTAACCGGATTTTAAAGAGTTAACTTAGGTAAGTTAAAGTTATGGATAGAGTTAGGTATTTATGATTAATTTTTAAAAATCGTTTAATAAAAGATTTTGGAAGCATGTCATTTTAATATTTAAACACAAATAACAAGTTTAGAAACAGATTTAACTCATAGGCGTTAAGAGCTTTAATTTCCTGGTCTAACGACTGTAAGTAAGCGTAATTATACACAATAAATATAATTCCACCAGCTTGTTTTTGTGTTTTTAATGAAAGGTAATGAAAGGTAAATACTTGGCCTAGTAATATTACAATAGCTTATGTAGCTATAAAAACCTAATATCTATTTGTCAAAATTTGTTTAGATTTATGATTGCAGTAGTAGACTAGTGGTAGAACTTTAAGCTTTTGATCCAAAGGTTTGTGGTTCAATTCTGCTTTTTGTTACAAGATTTGTCTTTTGTTTAGAGTCGATGGAAAGTTTCAAATAAACAAAACAAAAATGAACTATATTTGTAAATTAACAAAAATTTAAACGCATAACAACCATAGTTTAAAAGTCTCCAACAAAGATCATTAAAAGTTGTTTGGAGTATCTGATATTAGAACTTGAGACCATTTTGATCTCATTTGCAGCCAATTGTTAGTACGCTTGATTGCTTTGCAAACAATCTGCTGTAAAGCAAAACCTTTAAACTTTCTCGTTAAAATGTTGACGTTTAAAGGTAAAAATATTGAGGGATGCACCATTTTTTTCTCGCAATTCTATTTATAACAAGATGGATTCTTCAATACGCATTAGAAGCAGGTTTGTTAAGATGACTCTGATAAGTTTTCTTAATTTAGGTTTTCTACAAAACTGTTTCGAAAGCTGTTATGCTAAAAAACACTGTTGTAATTTTATTTTTTAGGTCCCGACTTAAAAAATCCTTCCTTATTTAACTATAACCTCAAAGGAGTGAAGAATATTGGCGATCATGTAAAACACATATTAGCCTTCGGCGACTCTCTCACTGAAGGATATTTAGAAGGCGGTGCACGATTTCACCCATATACTACAGAACTCGAAAAACTCCTTAATACAAACTCCTTTAATGGGACTCGTTTTCAAATAATCAATGAAGGTATGAGTGGGGAATGTGCGTTCGTGGAAATGAATACTAGATTACCTTTAGTGCTTGACTCTTATGTTTTAAGATTTGATCTTGCTCTTATACTCGGAGGAACAAACGACTTAAGAAGATTAGACTGTGCAAAAAAAATTAACGTTGCTTACGAAGTTATAACTCTGCACAAACTGCTTCATAAAAGAGGAATTCCAACAGTTGTCATAACAATACCGGAACACGATGACACTTATCTAAGCGAGCTAAGACAAGATTATAACTCCGAAGAATATAAAAAAATTCGCGAAGTTACAAACAATAAATTAAGAGGTTTCGCCAAAAAAAATCCGACTAAAACGCTGCTGTGCGACCTTGCAAAACTATTCCCAATGTCATCGCTAAATCCTAGACAGCATAAGCAATTGTGGGACGATACCGTTCATCCAAGTGAGTTCGGTTATAACAAAATAGCATCTATTATATTCAAAGTAGTGAGACAATTTTTTCGCATCTAGTTTAATTTATCTTAATTGAAAAAGCAAATTTTTAAAAAAGGCTATTAAATTTTTAAAAGGCTAAAAAATAAACCGTAAGAGCAACATAATTTAATGTACCTCAAAATGAAGAAGCAAATATTAAAAAAAAGATTATCATAAAAATTCAGGCATTTGAGGATCATCCAACGAAATGGACATTAAAAAAACAACCATAAGAGCTCTCAAAACTCACCATTATCTGAAGTTTTATTCTACAATCATTCTAAAACATTATACAAAATATAAAAATATTTATTTCTATTTTTAAATGTCTATTTTAATACAAATTATTACAAAGTATAAAATTGTGATTTATTTACACCTTCATATATCAACAACAAATAAATAACCATTGTTTTCATCAATAACAATACTTTAAAAAAACTTTGAAAAACAAAATTTAGAAATAAATTTTAAAAACTATTAAAAAGTGCTTAAAAAAGTTATTAAAACCTTGTACAGAAACCTTATATAAAATAGTTCGAAGGGAAAACGCTTGCAATATTTAAACCTTATATAAAATAGTTCAAAGGGAAAACGCCTGCAATATTTAAACCTTATATTAAATAGTTCAAAGGGAAAATGCCTACAATATTTAGGCAATATTTTAATAAAAAAGTACTCAAGGAGATTTCTTCAAGTAGGAAAATCACCTTTCTTATTTTGATTTTTTTTAAACAAAAAATGTTCAGAAGTATTGGCAATGGTCACCATGGTTAAATCGTCTAAAAATAGCCTTATGTAAGATGAAATGAAGTGATCTCTTATTAAATAGAAAAGGGCAATTTTCGAACTAAGACTAGCTCCAACTACTATATTAAAATCAATTAAACTGTATATACGTGCATTCCTTATAAACTTATAATTGATTAAAAAAAACAAAAAAAACCTTTAAATAAATCAAGTAAATTCAAACCCGACATTGCCACAAGCAATAGCAATTTTTAACATTTTTTCAAGATCTTCTTTAGTTTCGTATTCGGGTAATTTTAACAAATTAAAACTAAAAAAATTGAAATGTTTGCAATAGTAAATATATATATATATATATATATATTATATATATATATATATATATATATATATATATATATATATATATATATATATGCATATATGTAAATAAATATTTGTGTATATATATGTATGTATGTATATATATATACATATATATATATATATATATATATATATATATATATATATATATATATATATATATATATATATATATATATATATATATATATATATATATATATATACACACACATATATATATATATATATATATATATATATATATATGTATATATACATACATACATATATATATATATACACAAATATTTATTTACATATATGCTTATATATATATATATATATATATATATATATATATATATATATATATATGCATATATGTAAATAATAGTGCCTTGATAAAAATACTCATATACTAAAAATACACAAATAATTAGGCAGATGTTAAATGCATCCATTAACTGTTTTGCAGAAGGCCTCCTAGGCAAAGACTTTCGGAGTTAGCAGAAAATGCTGTTTTCTGCCTTGGATGATGTTGACTCGTAGATTTTTACTTGTACCACCTTGATAGTGGCTGTGCAACTCTTCTTCTTATCTCCTAATACAGCTCTAAAACTCAGTATTGACGGCCATTATTATACTTTAAATCTCAGTATTTATAGCTGTTATACATTGATTTGCAAAGGCTTCAATAGCCATATGCTTGGCTTGGACCTTATACTTACGCATCAAAACACCTATTTGTTGTGAAATTAGATTTAAATCGTCTACCCATTCTTTTATGTGTTTCTGCTTAGCATCACTTCACTCTTTCTCTTTTTTCTTTATCGCTCTTCTTCTTCTCAAGACTGCATTCTTTTAGATAAAATTTCTGATCAAATTGACCATGCTTTTTCCTTTTATTCCTCTGCCTATATTTTTGTTTTTGGTAACTTTAATGCTTATCACTCCAATAGCGCTACCGACACTTGGTGACACAAAAATCATAAATTCTGTAACTTCTCAATCATTTACTCAGATAACTAACTTTGTGACTCATTTTGTGATACAGAGTAATCCACTTAATCCACAATCAATCTTTCACTATCACGCTTTGATTTGTGTCTATGCCACTCTCTAGCTTGTGTTCAGTTTCTGCTTGTTCTTCTTTCGGTGGTTTTGACCATCCAATGATTTACAAATCTTTTATATTGTATTCTTTTTTTGGAGTCATCCTATCGTCAAATTAGTTACTACTACCCAAAAGTTGGCAGGATTCTTTTCAAGATTTTCTTTGTGATGGTCTTTGGTCTGATGTTTCTTGTTCTCTACTGATAAATGTCTCTCTAACGTAATCGTCTGTATCCAGACAGGTGCGGAAGCTTTCAGTCACTCTTTTTGGTTTCAAGTCAAGCATCATTCTACTCCATGGTTTTCACCTTCTTATGCAGCTGCTAAATCTAATTGTAATCACTTCTTTTTATATTTCTCACAAAAACAAATTTTTTTGTCCTTGTTTTAAGGCGTTTGTTCTTTTGAGAACTAACAACTTTTTATTATTACAAAAAACTAATGTAAAAAGGTGCTCTCTAATGCTAAGCCATTATATCCCAGTTTACTCCAATGTATCCCAGTTTACTAAATCTACTATCTTATCTCAAAAGTTAGACTCTAGAGACTTTAAAAATCTTCAATAGTGTTACTAAGGTTACAAACTAAGATTAGTCTTTAATTCATCTTTAATTAATGAGGCTGAACTATTAGCTTTCCCAAGGATACGGAAGAACTATATTCAAAGAACTTTTTGCTTAAATTCGACTCTTGATATAATGATCATACTCTTTCTGCCATTCCAGTTAAACAAATTAACCCAATGTTAGACCATCCAAACCACTTTGGCTTTGGTTGCTAAAGTAAAGCTTCTAAGGCTTGTGGTCCAGACAACATTCCTGTCATTGTCTTATAAAAGTGTTCTCCAAAACTCTCTTCAATTCTGCCTAAGTTATTTAATAAGTAACTGAATCTTGTATTCCTGTCTGCTGGAAAATAGCATTTGTGGTTCCAATTTTTAATAACTCTAGAAAACTCTCTGATCCCTCCAGCATTCTTTTTGCTTTTATCTCCCTCCAACAATCATTCTTTTCTCTATTATCTTCCACCAACAATCATTCTTTTCTCTATTATCTCCCTCCAACAATCATTCTTTTCTCTATTATCTCCCTCCAACAATCATTCTTTTCTCTATTATCTCCCTCCAACGATCATTCTTTTTTCAATTATCTCCCTCAAACAATCATTCTTTTCCCTATTATCAGCAAAGTCATTAATCAAAAAATTTCAAACATCTTGAGTCTAATAACTGTCTGACAATCAATATGGATTTCAATATTCTTGTTATACAGCTGACTTGCTAACTGCTGTAACTAAAAGATTCTTTTGTGCATTAAATTGTGGCGAGACAAATGCTATTGCTCTTTACATATTGAAAGCTTTTACTTTGGCTGGTATGACATATAGTATATCTAGGAAAGCTTTTGAAATTATTAAATCGTTTTTTTCTAACCATAGTATTAAATCATCATTGAAGGCCAACACTCTTCATTTCCAGTAACCTTTAGGGTATCTCAAGATTCTATTACTGGTTGTGTGTGGTTTCTTATCTACATTAACGATCTTCTGATAATCTTAGATTTAAAGTAGCTCTACTTGCTGATGAATCTAATCTTGAAAAAGTCTTTCCTTTTGATTGCTTAAAACAGGCAAGTCAATCTCGAATCTGATTGTTTTGTAACAAATTGTGCGTTTTAACTCTAACAAAACTCAGTTATTTACTGCAAACAACACAATATTGTTCACAATACTGTCACATTCATATATTAATGATTGGCAACCCTCTCACTAAGTCCTCTTTTTTACATCTTCTTGGATAATCATTTACTACTAAACTCTCATAGAAACCATATAAACAACCCATTTTAAAGTTAGCACTTGCTAAATTTGCTTCTCTTTATTGTGCTCATCATTAACTTACTCCTGATTTCATTTTCTACCTTTACAAATCTCTCATTTGTTCCTGTACGAAATACTGTTGTCATATTTGGGCACCTAAACTTCTAGCATATTCTTAATTTACTAGTTTAATCTTAATTACCTAATCATCAATAACTCATCTTAACTAATTAAAACAATTAGTACAACTACTTACCATGTGCTTGAAGTTGGCAACATTTTAGTGTTGTCAGCAGAGCGGCAAATTGTAAATAATTGATTACCACTAGGTCCACACAAATTAGAAAATCCTCCCCAAGGAACACGAGATCTATTAAATAAAGCATTAAATTAGGGAATAAAAAAAGCCACTTTAAAGGTGCCACTTTTAAAACGTTATTCGAAGATATATTTAAAGAAATATTTAAAAATGCTTTTCTTTCTGTTTGATGTGTTTTAGTTTCAATAATTGATTAAATGTAACAAATAAAAAAAAAATTTAATTTTTTAATTCCAATTTATAAATCTTTAAATTAGTGATTTTTTAGGATGCAGCTAATGATTGTGATAGAAACACCTGACACCGCAACATCAAGCAATCATATGAGTTAATTGTTGACCTGATTTATGCAAACCAAAACTTAAAAAAAAACAAGATTAGATAAGCTTTAATAAACAAGATTAGATAAACAAAAAGCTTTGAGCAAAAGAGTTGAACAAGAGATTATTCTATGATTTAATTTTGTATGGATTTGCTGTAAATAAATGGCACCATATTTATATGTAAATAAATGGCACCATATTTAGGTACAATATTGGAGACTAAATTTACAAATTTTTCTTTAATTAAATAAAATTAATAAATGTAACAGATAGAATATTACAATCATAGCTCCAAATTATTAATTAAATAATTATAATAATTAATAAGCAATATTATAGTTGAATAATTGTGACTTTATTTAAGATATAGTTTTATTATGAATAAATAATATTATTATAATTTAAGATACAGCCTTATTATGGATAAATATTTAAAATAATAAAATTTTTTTAAATTATATTTAAAATAAATTTAAATATTAAGAATATAAAGTGGATTTAATATTTTATGAAAAATAGAAAATGTTTTGAGACAATTATAAGATTAATAAAACAAAGGTTAATAAAACAAAGTTTAATAAAACAAAGATTAATAAAACAAAGGTTTAAAACAAAGGTTTAAAACAAAGGTTTAAAACAAAAGTTTAAAACAAAAGTTTAAAACAAAGGTTTAAAACAAAGGTTTAAAACAAATGTTTAAAACAAAGGTTAATAATACAAAGACTAATAAAACAAAGGTTAATGAAACAAATGTTGTTAAAACTAGAATATGCATCATATTTTGACATGATCAAATAAAAACGAGTTCAAGGTAAAACCAGACAAACATACTCACTACAACTAGACATAGGCTGTTGTTTGAATTGAAACAAGTTGAACAGTTGGTACTGTTGACCAACTTGTCAAGATAAATATTTACTAGTCTTGCTGTGTTTATTATTTCTGATTAGTTTGATTTATCAATCTTGCAAGAAGATGACTCTTGATTAATGAGTGTTAAATGGTAATACCATTAAATGACTATGTTAATAAAATTTCAATAATTTGCATTTAAGAGCTTATAAGAAAATAAACATACGTTCCTGTAGTAAACTGTAACAACTGCACTTGCTCTTCTTTTTTTAGTGAGCCAACCACTTCCCAAAACCACTAAAATAGATTTGTTAGTAAATTATGTTGTTAATAATTATATGTTGGTAAAAATGTAAAAATAATTTCCACAATATAAAAATTTCTAAAGCAATGTAAACCTAGTTTCTTTATTTAATTGTTTTCTATTTAAGTTTAACAAAAAAATTTAAAATAAAATACTTACCTTGATTACTTGAGAATCTTCACTGTAACCTGCTTGGTATACTGTGCTATTTTTCCAGTCTGTTAAATCTAAATCTGGAAGTCCAGACAAAAGCAATTCCTAAACAGAAACAAGTGTTTATTATTTATATTAACAGAAACAAGAAACAGAAACAAGTGTTTATTATTTATATTAATAGAAACAAAAAACAGAAACAAGTGTTTATTATTTATATTAACAGAAACAAGAAACAGAAACAAGTGTTTATTATTTATATTAATAGAAACAAAAAACAGAAACAAGTGTTTATTATTTATATTAACAGAAACAAAAAACAGGAACAAGTGTTTATTATTTATATTAATAGAAACAAAAAACAGAAACAAGTGTTTATTATTTATATTAACAGAAACAAGAAACAGAAACAAGTGTTTATTATTTATATTAATAGAAACAAAAAACAGAAACAAGTGTTTATTATTTATATTAACAGAAACAAAAAACAGGAACAAGTGTTTATTATTTATATTAACAGAAACAAGAAACAGAAACAAGTGTTTATTATTTATATTAACAGAAACAAGAAATAGAAACAATTGTTTTAAATATTATATAAAAGCAACATAAATCAATTTAAATTAATGTTTGCTAAACATTACATAAAAAAATTATGAAATTATATAAATAAAAACAATATTAATATTGAAAACAATTATATCTCATTCCATAATGCTTCATTTTCATCTTCATCCCACAAGGTTCTCATTTGATCTCTTATATTTCATCCAACTTCATTATCTGAAGTCCTTATTTAATCTCTCATCAGTTTTAATGAACACACTTATAATATTAGTCCTCAATACCAAAACTACTGATCACCATAAACCATTGATCAGCCAATACACTGATCACCCAAACCACTGATCAACCAAACCACTGATCAATCAAACTACTGATCAGCCAAACCACTGATCAACCAAACCACTGATCAACCAAACCACTGATCAACCAAACTACTGATCAGCCAAACCACTGATCAACCAAACTACTGATCAACCAAACCACTTATCAGCCAAACTACTGATCAGCCAAACCACTGATCAACCAAACCACTGATCAGCCAAATCACTGATCATTCAAACTCTGATCACCCAAACTACTCATCACAAAAACCACTGATGGCCATAACCATTAATCACAAATCACATTTATTTATTTTAATTATTAGTTTTTATAAAAAAAAAAAAAAATTAATTTTATTTAAAAATAAGTTTTTATTTATATAAAATTATTTATCATTTTATAAAAACATACCAATTCATATTCATTAAAGAGTGAGACCAGGTGATGAGGAATGAACTGATAAAAACCTTTTAAAAAAGCTTCTATCTGACTTTTAATTGCTTTTGTCATCCGAAGATCTGCTGCCAGCTGAACATACTCACACTGAAAAAATAAATTAAAAAAAAATAAAAGAAACTTTTGGTTTTCAAACACTTTATTTTTTATGGGGTGAAATGTGATTCAGTCTCATAGCTTGAAATAACTACTTTTAAAATCAACATCACAACGTATACAAACATTAAATGTTTTTATCCAAATGAAGAATCCATCTGAAAGTGAGGAGTCCATCTACAAAACACACAAAAAAAGATGAAGTAAATTGATTTTGTGAACTCAGTGGCCCTCAGATAATTTTTGGCTTTGAGAACTCACTGGCCCATAGATAATTTATAATTTTGGTGACTTACTGACCCACAAATAATTTGTGCACCAAAAAATATTTTGTAAAATTTACATCTATAATAATTTTAAAACTTTTAAATTTTAAAAACTTTAAATTATTGACTTTTCTTTGATGATGTGAGATGTTATATAAACTAATATGAACTTATATTTTGAAACCAACTGGTAGACAAAGCAGATTATATAAAGTGTAAACAATACAGGGAATAAACACAAGGCTATTGCAAATTTATTAAGAAACAAATCAAACAACTTAAAATTCTCACATAAAAAATACTTTACAACAAAAAAGTCAAATTAGACTGCAAGCAGCATTTTCATTGTTTAAAAATATATAACTTTTAATTTCTTTTGTTTAAAAAATAATTAACTATACTTTATAAAAAATTGAAAGAAATATTTCGCTCCCAAGTCACTTTAGCATGCACAATAATTAGGATTAATATCTTTTTTTATCTGCTACTGAGACTTTTTTTTTCTGAATCTGAGAGACAATCTGCAGACCAGAAAAAATCTAAAACCACTTAAACCATATAAACCTTAATTATTTAAAACTTGTAGTAAAAATGTTATTGAAATAAAAAATAAAAACCTTTATTGGCAAAAGTTTTGAAAAAATTTTTTAAATATATATTTTATAAATACTGATTAATTTATCTTTGAAAAGCTGATTTGAAACCAATCACATCCTGGCAACTTTTAAAATTCCCTTATTACTGTCTTATACTACTTTTTCAAACTAATGGAAAGTAGGTCTACAAAAGTGTCATCTTGAACATTTCAAATTTTTTCAAAAGTCAATATTTTTAACTTTAAGCAGAAGAGATAGCTATGCTAAACAGACTTATATCAAATTGTTGTTTATAAATAAATTGACTCCATCAAATTCTATTTTTCACTTTCTTTCATCTCAACCTAAAAAAAAAATTAATTTAAATCTGTAGTAAAGTAAACTTTGTTGCATTTTGCTGAAATAAATTGAACATTTGCTGAAGTATCAGTAAATTGAACATAACATTGCAGCTTTTTTTTCTCCAACCTTTTTAAAGCTGGGATATAAACAACCTTTCAAAAAAAAAAATTAAAAAACCAAAAATATGCTCAACTCAATTTAAAATACCTTTTTAAGAAGCAAAAAGGTGAAGCAAATGCTAGAGTTATTTTGAAAATAGAAATAGTTTATTTAAAGTAAAATTGATCGTGGAACAACAAGGAACATTTATTTGGCAATATTTATACAATATTTATACAATATGTTCATAATTGTGGATAAAAAGTATAATTTACTAAAGACAAAGTAGTTTAACAAAATCTTTAATAAGGTTAAATTAAATGTAAAAATACCTCATATTGTTAATATTTTGTGTTCACTCATGATGGAGGAAATAAAAGTCGATATTAGTGTTTATAAATATTCTTAAAATATACATAAAAACATAGCCTCGTGGCTGAAACTAAAACATAAAGAATATACGGCACATAAAAATACGGTGCCGATATAACTACAACTTAAAGATGGTGTCATAAAAACTTAACACCCCAACTTGACAACATATTACTTTAAAGTCCAAATAAAAAATCTTTAAACTTTTGTAATGAATCTTTCTTTGCTGGTTTAGTAAAAATATCAGCATAATTTTCATTTGATTGTATATACTCTAATAGTATACGACCTTGTTGATGATATTCTCGTATAAAATGATAACGTATGTCTATATGTTTAGATTTCATATGTTTTATAGGATTTTTCGCTAATGCAATGGCTCCTTGGTTATCGTTTCTAAGGGTTACTGGTTCGATTTTTACTTCTAATAATTCTCGTAATAGTTTTGCTAAATAACTAATTTCTTGGCAAGCTGCAGATATCGACATATATTCTGCTTCACAGGTGGACAGTGCAACACTCGATTGTTTCTTTGATTTCCAACTAACGACTGGTCCATCTGTACACAGAGAAAAACAGTAACCTGATATACTATGTCGATCTTCTAAAGATGAAGCCCAATCTGCATCACAGAAAGCATAAAGCTTTAACTCATCAGTCTTTCGAAAAGTTAAACAATAGTTTAGAGTATGTTTAATATATCGAAATACATGTTTAATCATAATCCAATCACCACTATTTGGTTTTGATAGATGCTGAGATAATTTGGTAATAACATAGCTTAAATCTGGTCTTGTACATGTCATTGCGTAAAGAAGACTTCCAACCATTTGTTGGTATAACTTTATCTCTGAATCATTCGATTTTATAGATTCTTGATTATGGTATGAATAAGGAACTTGCTCACATGGGGTAGATCTTGGTTTGCAATTGTCAAAACCGAATTTTTGTAGAACATTCTGCAAGTAATCTGATTGATTCATAGTGACACAATTACTAGTTGATTTGAATTGAATACCAAGAAATGAAGTTAATGGTCCCAAATCTTTCATTTTAAATCGTTTACTTAATTTCTTCTTAATTTTAATTAATAGTTCGTTTGAGTTGGCAGCTATAATTATGTCATCAACCCATACTAGAATCATTGCTACTTCAGTATTGCTTCTTCTAATAAAAACGCAATTATCAGCATTTGATTGAATAAATTGTATTTCCTTGAGAAAGTCACTTAAAACATTCTGCCAATTTCTACCACTTTGTTTTAAACCATAAAGTGATTTATTTAATTTCCATACTAATTGTTTGTTATTGTGGGTTTTTTCATACCCAGGAGGTTGGTTGACATAAATTTCATGTTCTATAGGTGCATGTAGATAAGCACTTTTAACATCCATTTGATGTAAAATGAGGTTATATTGGGCAGATATTTGCATTAAAATTCGGACTGATTCCATTCTAGCTGTGGGTGAAAAAGTTTCTAAATAATCAATTCCTTGAATTTGGTTGTACCCCTTTGCAACATATCTGGCTTTGTATATAATTTTATTATTGTTCCCTTTAATTGTGTAGATCCATCTTCCCCCAACTACTTTTTTATTTGCTGGGAGTTCAGTAATAATAAAGGTGTCATTATTCGTTAATGATTGGATTTCTTCATCCATGGCATTTTTCCATTTATCTGACTCATCGGTGTTGATAGCATTAGTGTATGACGTAGGTATATTCATCAAATAACAATAATCTATATAGTTAATTTCATCATCATTATTATTATCAACTATGTAATCTTCCAAATATTTTGGGGGTTGTCTTTGTCTTTGAGGGTAACGTGATGAGGGAATTTCTTGAGGTATATTTTGTTTATTATTGGGAGTGGATGGCTCAGTTGTAGATTTTGTAGTTGTTGGTTCAACATTTATAAAATCATCTGTATTGTAGGTATCTATTTGGCTAACAGATTCATATTTTTCTGTAAATTTTACAAGTCTGTGTTTTAAAACTGAATTTGATTCTGGATAATAAACTAGGTATGATGGACTGTCTTTGTCATATCCAACAAAATAACCTTTAATGCTTCGTGGTTGTAATTTTTTGGTATTATGTACATATGGGTAACATACTGATCCAAATAAGTGTAATCTCGAAATGTTTGGTTTTAAACCAGTTACTAATCCATATGGTGTACTTTTAATTCGTTGTACATAGCATCGATTTCTTATATATGTTGCAGTGCTAACTGCATAAGTCCATAAATGCTTTGGAAGTTTTGATTCAATAATCATGGCTCTTGCCATGTCAAATAATGAACGCCAATTCCTTTCTGCGGTTCCATTTTGGTGTGGGGAATAAGGTGATGTAAATTCATGTTTAATGGCATGTTTTAGAAGTAATTCATTAAATTCTTTTGATAAATATTCACCTCCGTTATCACTGCGAATACATTTTACATTACCAGATGGGGAAATATCATTATAAAAACTAAATGTTTTAACCTTCCCATATGGAGCAATATCTGCTAGAAATTTTTCAGCAGCTTTTGCAGCATCACTTTTTTGTTGCAGGAAATATGTAAACAAACAACTTGAGTAATCGTCAACAAAGTTTATAACATACTTAAATCCACCTATAGCTACAGGTTCTATAGGTCCGGCTAAATCAGTATGTACAAGTTGGAATGGGTAAGTTGCCCTTGTGTCAGGTTGTTGGTTACAAGTGTTAACATTTTTAGATAGAATACATGTTTCACAATCAAATTTAGCAATATTGTTGATTTTCATTCCTTGAGCTACATCTTCTAATTTTATAATATCATTGGTATTGCAATGTCCCATTATTTTGTGCCACATTTCTAAACTTTCAGTTCGTGTTTCATTTATTGAGTTTTTGTAAAAATAATACAAACGACCATATTGTCGGATAGGAAACACAGTTCCCTCTTTAGATATAAGTTCAGCACTATATTTATGGAAGTTGATTCTGGCGCCTTTAGCCGTAGCTGCTTGAACAGAAAAAATGCATTGTGGGTAGGTTGGGATATATAAAGTGTTTTCAAGAGTGACAGTTACTAGTTCATCATTTTTTGTACGTAAAAGGGTTTTAACTGTTCCTCTCTTTTTAGCTATATTGTTTGTCCTGGTGCCATCAGCTAACTCTATAAAGTGTTCTTCTGGTTTAAAATATTCATCAATATAAGTGAAGTATTCATCAGTATTTACAATATGGGTAGTTGCCCCACAGTCTACCAGAAATGTTTTATTTTGTGTTTCCCTATATTGTTCTTCGTTTATTTTAAATGCATACGTGTGTTTTTGTATATTATTAACAGCTTTAGCTTTATCTTTTATTTGTTTTCTGCAAGAACTGTCTTTGTGGGTATTTGATCTACAGTAATTACACCATATCTTTGGTTTAGTTTTTGCTTGACATTCAGAAGATTTGTGACCAATAGTTCCACAAGTGTAACAAGTCAAAACTTTCTTTATATTACCCCCACTAGTTTTGAATTTCATTATTTTGGTATCTGAATGTTCAATATGAGTTGTTCTTGTGTATTCTGTTTCCTCAAAACTTCGTAAAGCCTGCTTAAATTTTTGGAAATTATTACTTGTTTCAGATTGGGTAATTATAGCTACAAAAGCTCTATAATCGTCAGGTAATCCTTTAAGTACCATAGCAATAAGTAATGAATCGCTAATACTTTCGCCAGCTGTATTTAATGAAGTGGCTGATTTCTCTGCTCTAATAACATAATCTGTTATAGACTCGTTGGTAAATTTTTTTAAACTTGTTAATTGGTTATATAAGGTAATAATACGAGGTTTACTTGTACTAGCGTAATGATCTTTTAGAATTTTAAAGGCTTCCCTACCTTTATCTTTAGCGTCTCTTATAATTAAAGCTATGGATCTTTCATCCAGAAATTGTATAAGTTCAGCAAACGCTATTTCATTTTCGTCTTCGTCAATTTCACCATTTCCAATTAAAGTATCTTTTAAATTTTTTAACTTCATATATCCAAGGAATTTTGTTTCCCATATTTCGAATTTCCTACTATCTCCATCGAAAATAAGATTTTGCCACTGGTTGCTGGGCCCATAACCTGTTAATATTTTGTGTTCACTCATGATGGAGGAAATAAAAGTCGATATTAGTGTTTATAAATATTCTTAAAATATACATAAAAACATAGCCTCGTGGCTGAAACTAAAACATAAAGAATATACGGCACATAAAAATACGGTGCCGATATAACTACAACTTAAAGATGGTGTCATAAAAACTTAACACATATTTTCAAATTTTTTTTTATCTTCATAATTTTCATGTTAAAACTACATATTGAAATTATTTGTGGAATTTTTGTTGATTTCGTACTAAAAAGTAGGTAACTTTAAAAGTCTAAAAAATAAAAAATTTGAAGTTTTTTTGTGTGACTTTTTGCCGTTTTTAACCTAATCTGCGTGATGCTTAAGGAAAGAAATTTTGAGATCAACTTTTTTAAAAAGTTTTTTATCATGATCTTTTCTTGCATTTCAGTGTTCAGAAAAATCTCTAGCAATATTTTGAACACATATTTTACCAACTAAAAAAAAAATTATTTTCCTGAAAGTATTTTAGTTTTTCTTTACAAACCTTGTTTGTTTTCTTTCGCCACAAAATAATTTCACAATTAAACCTATTCCTTTACAACCAAATCAAACTCTTTTTTTCGTTTTTTGGTTGATTCACTATTTTTCTTTTTCTAAATTGATTCATTGTTTTTTCTATTTCTAGGTTGACTCATTGCTTTTTCTGTCACATTCAATGTCATTTATTTCAGATGATTTAAATGTTGTTTTTGTTCATATTGGCAGTAATGTATTAGTTTAGATCATTGCCTTTAAAATGAAACTTAAAATGTATACACAACGTTAATTGACAACAAATATAAAACCTTGTGTTATCATTGCATTATTATTTTTATTGGTCTCAGTATATATATATTGGAAAAAAAAACTCAAACTTTTTTTGTGTGACGTTTTGCAAAAGGTTCCATGCATGTTACATGATTTCTGTATGTCTATTTGCATCTTTTTATATTAATAAATGGTCTACCATTTTTTCATTAAATGGACTACTATTTTATCAGTAAATGGTCCACCATTTACTGAGCATAGGAACCACATTAAAAAAAGAAACCACTTAAGAAATTAAAAATCTTGGTACTTATTAAATTGCTAATTATGTATGTTGACCAATCAAAAACTTTTTAGATCTGTAAGTAATTTTTGTTATTTTATGTTGCCACTATAGATAAAATGTGACATTAAAAAATGTTATATCAACAAGTTATAAAAGATTCAGAGCTGTCTATGATAAAAGAAAAATAATTTTATTTGTTTTAAACGTTAGATTTTGTTTTGAAAAGAGCTTCTAAACAATTTTATAGGTAATAAATTTCTTCTATACTAATGTAATGACAGGATTTTTTTTTTGTTACTGTTAATAGTTCTGGTTCAATAAAATAACTTGATGTTAACATTTTACAATTGGTAAAAAATAAATAAAATAATGATTTTAAAAGGTGATAAATTTCTTTTTTATTGATGTAATGTTACAACAGGATTTTTTTTTACTGTTGGATTTTAGTTAATTAAACAACTTGCTCTTTTTACTGTTGGATTTTAGTTAATTAAACTTTTAAGCATTAAAAAATATCAACTTTTTTCAATTCAAAAAGTTTAACTTTAAAAAGGTTCAGTGAAGAATGTTTGGTGTAGTAGCACCATATTTCATTTTTGAAATAATTGATTATAATTTTTTTATGTTTGAGAAAGTGATCATCAATTAATGAAACTCAATAATAAAAAATAAATATGAATAATAAAAAATAATGGAAGATATTGTTAAGAAAAAAATTAAGATGATGATTAGATGAAAATTTATATATTTAAGAGTTGAAATAAAAATCAAAAAGTCTCAAAGATAGTTATAACCTTTATTTAAATTATTTTTATTTATATGTTATAATCTTTAAATAAATGTTATAACCTGTATTTATCAATGAGTGTATAGAATCTGTATAAGTGAATTGTACTTATATTAATAAAAAGATTGACATTAACTATTGATAAAATTAAATATTGATAGTACTCTTACATTAAAAAATTTATGTATTGTATGTAGTATTGTGTATTGTATATAGTATACTTATAAATAAAACAAATTAAAAAATGAGAGTTCTTTCATTAATTTGCAAAAAGAAAATTTTTTAACAGTATTAAAAAAAAAATGTAATAAAATAATATTTTATTTAAACCATAAATTTTTTCTATTACCCTGAACACTATTTAATATTTCATTAATATGGATTGTGTGCCACCCATGCCACCAGATATTTAACATAGTGACTTGTTTTCCAGACAACTATAATCACTTACCTTCGCTAATTTGTGTCTTGTTTCTAACTCAAGCTTGTTCTCAGTTTCTTGGGACCCTTCTTTGAGTGGTTTAGACCTATGATCTCACTAAAACTCTAAAACTTTATCTTGTATTTCTTCTACATTCACAATTGCACTTCTTCGACTACATGAAAGGATTCCTTATATGACTTTTATTATGACAGCCCTCGGGCTGATATTTTTTTCCTCTCCACCGATAACAGTACCTTCTAAATTATCTCTTGAATTCAGTTCAACATAAAACTTCAACATAAGCCTTTTTTATTCGCATTTTAAATTGATCCTCATTATACCCCATTGTTTTCACCCTCTTGTGCTTTTTTTAATCTTGTGTTTTTTTATTATTGCAAGAAAACAATGGTAAAATAATATGTTATGTACTGTCCAACACTAAGCTATGTACTGTCCAACACAAAGCTATGTACTGACCAACACTAAGCTATTATTCTCAGTTTACAAAATCTCATATTTTATTTTAAATGTTAGGATAATGAAATTTTTCGAAAAGCTTAAACATCAAATAATTAGCAAATCTTAGATGCAAGGATATAATTTTTCTTCTAATTTATCACTTACATCTAAAGACCACATTCTTCCTGTTATCCCTAAGAAACATGTTAATCTACTTTTAGACATCAAAATCACTCCTGATTCTGCTACCTAAGTTATTTCCCACTTAAACTATTCAAAAACTTGGCCCAGACCTTTCCCAGGGCCATTCCTCTTCCAGTCTTACAAAAATATTCTTATAAAACTCTTTTTAACACTAAACTGCTGGCAAATCTGTTTCCAATTTTAAAAAACTCTGGTTTTTGAGACTCCTCTAACTATTCCTAATATTATTAGTTTAGTTTGAACCTTTTTTTAACTGAATTTTGTTTAAATCATTCTCTACCTCTAAAAAATCTCTTACTTGTGCTTGCATGGAATAATGTATTTATATTTAAACTAATTCTTCTAAGAAAACTCTCTCTTTTTTAGACATTTAAAAACTTTTTCTACGAATATTATCACGGTTGCAAGCCAGCTTTTTCTTGAACCTAAGTGTTTTAGAATTCTCTCGGTTCTTCTTTTTTTCCTTACCCATAACCTACAGTTTTTTAATGTCAAACCTTTGTTTGGTCTTTAACCTATTTCTTTATATTTTAGAATTTTCTCCAACTTAATTAGCACTAGCTTATTGGAAGTTGAATTGTTTTTTAAAAAAAACTATAAGTTTATAACTTTATTTTAAAATAATTTTTTTTTTCCCCCTTGCACTTAATATAAAATAAAAAAAAAACTATTCTTAACAATATTTTATAAACAAAAGCAATGTAAAACAAAAAAAGATCAGATTTAATTTCTAATGGTTAGACATCACCACCAAACAAAAATATTTAATCTTCATTTAAAATATAACAGAAAATTATTTCTTAAACAAATTTGATAAAAAATTAACCTTGTTTAAATCAGTTACAATAATATTCTTTCCATTTGACTTTAACTCGACTTCTTGGGTTTGTCCAAAGACATCAGTTTCAACAGAAAACGGAATTTCTAATCCCAAACTACTTATTTCATTATCTAAAATCCACTACAAATAAAAAAAGTTTTGAATATTAATTGAAAAGAACATTTTAAACATAAATGCAACATTTATAATATATATGTTTTTGTAATAATCTTTTTGTTTTTTATTTGTTGTTGTTTTTAAAGTAATTATTTTTAAAGTAATTGTTCAATTTTAAAGTAACTATTCTTTTTTTAAAGTAATTCTTATATAAAGTAATCACTCTTAATTTTAATAATAACTGTTAATTTAAATAATAATTTAAATAATAGTTAAATATTGCATTAACCTTAGGTTTTTTTTATTTTATATTTGTCCATTGCTTTATTATGCTATTAAGTTCTGTAAATACCAGCATTTTGCTGGAATATATATTTAATCAGTTTTTCATAACTTTTAAAACTAAGAACAATAAAAGTTGCAATGAACATAACATATTTATATATACATATCATGAATGTTTATAATTATAATACTTATAAATTTAAATCTTAAAACTTATGTCAACTTATGTAATAGCAATTATATAAATTGTTTAGTTTTTATTTTGTTTGCAAATTTAAACTTGTTTATTTTATTCTCCCATATTTTTCCCATTCTACTAGCCAGGGCTGTGGAGTCGTAAAAAAAAAGTACCAACTCTGACTCCAATTGTTGAAATTTTAGAGTACAACTCCGCTTGCAAAGCAAAATTTTTGAAAAATTCTTTGAGTTTATAAAAAAATACCATGCGATAACTGAAAAAATTTTTTTGTTGCCAAATTCATTAAAAGTTCTTTGAAGATAAAATATTTTGTACATACACGTGCAAACCGAGAAGTTTTACTATTGAAGTCAGAGTTGTGATTTTGTTTAGTGACTCCTACTTTACTAAATATGTCAAAACTCTGACTCCATGACTCCGACTCCACAGCTCTGCTATTAGCTTATCATCCTGCTATTAGCATATCATCTGCTATCAGCATATCATCATGGTATTGTTACCTTTCATAATTTATTTGAAAGAAATATATCCAAAACATTTTTATTTTTTATTAATGTAATTCGATTACTTTAGTTGACATTTTTCCGATAGTGACGTTCATTACTTTAGTTTACTGCTAGAATATGGTTTTAAATTAGTAAATTTTTTTTTGAAATTTATTATAAAGATCATTAGCTAACAGCTTCAGAAGAAAAAATTTATTCAACATAATTAAGGTAAAAATAACTTGATTTTTGGTAAAATTACAAAAACTCTGTTTGAATTGTTTATTGCTTTGTGATAAGTGTCTTTTCAGTCAAAATTTCACTATTTTCAGCACTTATGACAACAATTTTCAGCACTTCTGAAACAATCTTCTTAAGTGAATTATACTATCTCTATAAGAGCTTGAAAAATTCCATTTTATAAAAGGATTTGCATATTAATATAAAGATGTAGCAACTAATGCAGGTACATGTTGGGATAATTGCATATAGAAACTCTATAAGCTTATTTACAAAGCTATTAGGCATTTTCTGATACCACAATCAATAATGACGCATATTATAATATTATGCTGTATATAACATTATTAACATAAAATGTAATATGTAAAGGGTGTACTATCTAGTGTTTTGATTTGAACTAACAAATATTTGACATTTGAAATGCCAAACGTCATTAAAAAAATACAGATATTTAGTATAAAGTCTGATATTTACAAAATGGGTCCCTATTCACTTAAACAAAGTTAGGAAATACTAAAAACTTATTTCAAAAGTTGTGAGTCTCCAACGCAAACTGAGAAATTTGAAAAAAAAATTGGACAAAAAAATGTGCCTTCAGAGGTATTTCTACGACAATTTGCAAATCCTGTTTGTGAAACTGGTTCACTAGTGGATAAAACAACACGTAAACGTCCATTTCCAGCAAGATCAACCAAAAACATTGCATTACAATTTTATGTAAAGATCTTGCTTTGAAGGCATACAAAGTTCAATTAGTGCATCAACTAAAGCCAATTGACCATCCAAGCTGTCTACACTTTGCAAATTGGGCGTTTGGAAGTCTACCCCGAATTCTACCGAAAAAACATCTTCTTAAACGAAGCTTATTACCACCTCGATGGTTATGTAAATAAACAAAACTGTTGCATTTGGGGAAGAGAAAACTCACATGTCATTGCGGAGAAGTCAATGAACCACAAGGAGTGACTTTTTGGTGCGGTTTTTGGTCAGGGGGCACCATTGGCCCAATTTTCTTCAAAAATGAGGCAGCACCAACAGTAACCATCAATGGTGAGCACTATTGTATTATGTTATCTGATTATTTTTTTGACCAAATTGAAGCTCAAGACTAACTAGTTGCAAAAAAACAGATTTAAAGTGAAACATTACATTATTTTCAGTGAAAACATTACATTATTTTCACTAAGAAACAAGTTAAGTGTAGAAAATGACTGAGGCTTGATTTTAACTAGAACCAAGTTCACTACAATAAAATCACTTTGTATCGTGATGAGTTGATTGCCATATAACGTCATACAAATGTACAATAGTTGTACTGTAATATCATTAAAAACCACACATAATATGAAGCTAATCATCAAATATAGACTAAAAAAATTAAATACGATGCATACTTGAAATAATCTTAAATTAACTCAGATCCTATAGTCAATTGGACAAGTAAAAGGAAAGAAGAAATGTTTTGCTTTCACTGTTATAGTTTATTGTTAAGGAAGTTTTTTTCTGTAACGTTAGGCATTCAGGACTGATATTTGGACAAACATTGCACAGAAACAAAAGAATTTCTTAAAAACACTAGTGGTTGTGGGATTGATATTTGGACAAACAAACAATTTGAAGTCACCAAAACAGTATACTATTTAATCACCAAATTCTAAGATTAAAATAGTAAAAAAATATTTTAACAGCAAAAAGATAACATAATGAAGATAACAAGAAACCTGGAGATTTTTTGAGTATTCTGGATCAATAGATTCAATATCTTTATAACTGGCTGGTACACCTAAAATAGATAATATAAAAAATAATACTTTTAAATCATGCAAATAAGAGAAAAATTTATGACACTTGAAAACTAACCTAACATATGTTTGTAGAAAGATCTAGTAAAATAAGCAGTAATTAAATGCTTGTGATATAATGCTAAACCCATTATACGCCCAGCAAACTGAAAATAGCTCAGATGGTCAGGATTTACAAAAGAATTACTGTTGGGTTGGAAAGTTGAACCTAAGTTATAATAAACCACAAATTAATATAGTTTTCTATAAATTAATACAGCTTGGCATAAATTAGTACAGCTTTTCATAAATTAAAATAGCTTTACATAAATTAAAATAGTTTTGCATAAATTAATATATTTTGCATATTAAAATTTCGCTGCTATAGAACAGATGGTAAAAAAAAAACAAAGTGAAATCACAGACAGAGGATAAAACAAATTATTGTTCAAATCTTAAATTAACTAAAAATTTAGTTAATTTTTAATTATAGTTAGTCCATAAAATCCAGGTATTTTCTAAATTTATCAGACATCACAAGTCATAGGACTTCCTTAAGACTTAAGTCATTAAAAAAAGTACTTAAGAAAATTCAACTTGTTTCTCTGCACAGCAACTTCTTTGGGTTCATATTTTGAAGTGTAGTTATAACTTTAAGGTAAAAATATAACCTAATAATGTAAAATTATTACCAAAAAAATTTCTCAACAAAACATAAGTGCTTTATTATTTATACTATATTTGTTAATTACTTTGTAATTACAAAAATCATTATACCATCTGCTGATAACGTGAAGAGTGCACAATCCGGATTTACAATTTCTTTAATTAGCAAATCTAACCACTCCCTGGTCACACCAGCACCCTAATAATGTAAAGAGTTTTATTAATTAATATGACAATACTAAACAACATTTAACAGAGTAAAAAAGATTTTTGTTAATACCATTCCTTCTTCTCCCTGGAATCTTACAGAAATATTTTTTTTGAGCTGACTATCATTTTTTTCTTCTAACTGCTTACAGCTTGCAGAAAGTAAAGAATCTACAGAAAAATACCAAAAACTGCTTACAGCTTGTAGAAAGTAAAGAATCTACAGAAAAATAATACATACAGCTTGCAGAAAGCAAAGAATCTACAGAAAAATACCAAAATAATATATAATGTAAGTGTGAAATTTTACACAATATGTTATAATATTTTATAAAAATAATTTCAGTGCCATATTTAGCCAACTTTTTTGCAAAATTTGCAAAAATCAGATTTAAGTTAGATTGGAATTATCAAAATTCTTTAAAATTTGACAACATAACACTGCAAAGACATCATCACTAATGCTCTGCAAAGTTTAGTGGTAGAATGTAAGCAGGGAAATATTTTCCAAATACAAACAACCTCTCCGAAAGGAGAGGGTTTTAGTATTTATATAGTTTTAGTATTTATAATATCTATATATTATATATATATATAGAGGTTTTTTTTCAAATTTTTCTTAATTTGTTCTAAAAAAACAAATATATTATAAAAATATACTTAAACTTGTTTGTATAGAAAATATTTTGGACATCCGGAGAAACTCAAAGTTAGAAAAAATATCAGGAATCCCAGAAATATCCACAAAAAAATGATACCTGCTATTCAATCTTTTTTTTTTTTTTTTAACATCTTTGCTTCCAACAAGGCTGCAAGCAACCACTATTAGGGTTGGAAGTTACTGGAAGAGAAAAGATGAAGATTGTAGAGCAAGATAATGATTGACAGACGACTTAAAAGATTTCAAATTATATAAAACAGGAAAGCAAGATGAAGGAAGCGAATACCTAAAAACTGATTATTCAATTACTAATAAAAATACTGATGTTTAAGGAAAAAAATTAGAGGAATTTATAGAGATTTTAGAGCATTTAGGAATAGTCACAGAAAAAGGATGAGACTTAATTAAATGACGAGTAACACAAGACTGAATTTTAGTAGATGGCACAAGAGACGCTAGCTCTTGTGCCATCTACTAATATTACTCTAATGGGCATAGCTCTTTAAAGTAATGCCCATTAGAGTAGAAAAAAGAATGAGAAGCAACATTACAACAATGTGATAATGGTTAGAGGATGGCTGCAAGAGCAGGTCTAATTATGTTTACAACACATTTTTTGCACCTTCTCTAAAAGAGAAAGGGGATCATTAGAAATCCGCCCAAGATATGCCAATAGTAGTCCATACAAGGTTGGATTTAAGAATTATAGAGATAGAGATAGGAATCCGGAGTAAGAAAGTGTTAAGCTAGATAAAGAGATGCAACCCTAGCAAATGCGAATTTTGCAACCGATTTGATATATGATTTCCAAGAAAGATCAGAAGAGTTAATCCTAGAAGATGAAAGGTAGATGATTCATTGAGTACATTACCGTTTATAAATATAGGAAGATCAAATTAATAACGATTGGCTAAAAAAAATTGAGCTTTATCTGAATTAAAGTTCACCAGCCACTGAGAGCACCATGTTGTAGCAGAAGTGAAATCCTTTTCATGCTCAAATGCCCCCTCTAATCAGAGTGTTGGCTTCTTATCATGACAACAATAAATGCTAGTATCATCAGTGAACAATGCCACCTTAGATGTGAGAATATCTGGAAGATCGTTAATGTAAATTAAAGAGAACAGGGCCAAGGATTGAATGTTGAGGAACCCTTGAAGTTACAGAATATGAAGTGTGTTGTCCATTGAGGACAAGCTCTGAGCGAGCTTTGGTGTTAGACAAAACCTTTTTACAATGTTTATAGCAATAGTAAACAGACATCTGTTTTCTGGAGAATTGTTTTGCTGATAGATATGAAAGTAATGGTTTTGATTGGAAATTGCAGCAGCACAATGTGAGGAGAGCCAAGAAGTAGAGTTAGGCTTGACCTGGAATTGTAAGAGGGAATAAAAAATTCCATGCCAGCCTGAATCCATGAGGTTATATAAGAAGCACATTTGTCAGCAGGAAGAAGAAAAATTTCTACCCAAGGGCCATCACAAAGAAAATCATGGAAAGAGTCCCAGTCAGCTTTAAGGTAGTTGTAAGAGGCAGGCAGCAGGACATGAAGCAGATTGTACTGGGTTACATGTTACCAGTAGCAGGATAACCTGACCTCACAATATTTATCACTTATCACCTATAGATGTCTCTTCGATGGTGGTTATTGTTGCCGTTTCTCCACCAATGTCTACATCAGCATATCTAATGTGACTATAATTAAAATCACCAAAAAACTACTAACCAATTATAACTCTTTATTTAAGGATTTTATTTTATAATGATTTAGTCTTACATTTGTGTATTTATAGTGATTTAGTCTTATATATTTATTATATACTTGTCAAAAAAATATATTGCTTGTAGGCCCTTATAATAAAAAGCTCTATACTGTACTATATTTCAAGAAAAACTTAAAAATTTTGAATATATATTATTTATTGAGTTTCCCAGACCACCTTCATCTGATGATTAATAACTTATTTTTTCATAATTTATTTTTTATTTGCATTTTAGTATAGATCTAGAAATTTTCATATAGTTCTATTAGGACACTTGTAAAATTTTAAACATGCTTTGTTGTTCAAGGTCATTTTTTTGCCTTAACATAATGTTAAAAACTAATGTTAAACTTAAAAAAATCACAAAATAATTTAAAGATATTCTTCCTCTCTCTATATTATTTATTATTTATTTATTTATTTATTGTTTTTATTAATTTTTTTTTTTTTAATCATTTAAAAAAATTAATTATTAAGACAGATAATACGGTGTCTTAAAACCTTGAGTTATAATTTCCTGAGTTATGATCTTAAAAGAAAATAACTCAGTGTTAAAAAACTACATTTTTATAACAAAAGTAAGAAAAATGAATTTCTATAAGTTTTTTTACACAAATTTTTTTTTGGATTGATACAAATGTTATCTAACCTCTAGAAACGTGTATAACAGCAGTTTCATCATAAACCACACTAATACGATTCTTATCAGCATATAAATTTTCATAAAACCACTTTTGACGATCAGCAAATGGCTATAAACAAAAAAAATATATATAAAAAACAAAATTGAAAACATGAATTTTTTGCCCAAGTCCTTTACACAAAAAAGCCTAGTCATAAAAAACTAATACCTGTTGATGATAAATAAAAAGATACAATTGAAAACCTGGGCATGAATAGCAGGAAGAAATCTTTGTAAAAGTACTGGATTAACTAACACAAAGTTAAAATGTTCGAAAATGAGAGAAGTATTTCTAAAATAAAAAAATATTAAATATTTAAATTATGTACAGTAATATTCCATAATATAAGATATAATATTATGTTATCAATAATATATTAATTTAATATTATATAGTAAAAATCAAAAAAATATATAGTGGTGTAGTGGTAGAGCGCTCGCTTCATAAATGAGTGGTTCCGAGTTCGATCCCCACCACGCCCCTGGTAGTACTGCGCTCAACTCGTTTCTCCGCGCAGCGGCCTTGCTCGTCAAGGTTCGTGTTTTGGAGTTATAGAGTTGAGAGAGGGTTATAACCACAAATAAGTAGCCTCCTCGTCTGTAGTGGCCTTCTCGGCCTTGAGGAGGTGAATTAATATATATATATATATATATATATATATATATATATATATATACTCTAAAAACAATCCGTTACAAAAAGCAACAGATTGATTTATTCCGTTAAGTTAACAAAGTAATTCCTAACCGAAAATCACAAAATTTAATGTAAAATTATCTATTAACAGAAAATGGTTTCCATAAGAAATTATGATGTGCTTTCTCTGTAGATTATATTTTAAAATCTTGTTTGTTTGATTTAGATTTGTCAATATGTTATAGTTCTTTATTTATAAATGATAAATTTTTAAAAGGATTTTTTCTTAAACGACATTAAAATCTTAGATTAAAGGTTTGTTGCAGTATGTTTAATTTGCCATTTTTTAAATAGCTTCACATTTCGTCGAAATTTTTGACTAAATGTGAAGCTATTTAAAAAAACCATAATTTAAACTGTGTTTACCCATTTGTTTTTTTACTAAAAATTTTAGTAGAGAAAGCAAATGGATATACACAGTTTAAATTGCGGTAGTGGTGTAGTGGTAGAGCGCTCGCTTCATAAACGAGTGGTTCCGAGTTTGATCCCCACCACGTCCCTGGTAGTACCGCGCTCAACTCGTTTCTCTGCGCAGCGGCCTTGTTCGTCAAGGTTCGTGTTTCGGAGTTATAGAGTTGAGAGAGGGTTATAGCCACAAAATAAGTAGCCTCCTCGTCTGTAGTGGCCTTCTCGGCCTTGAGGAGGTGAAGTATAATAAAAAAAAAAAAAATTACACACTGTTATTTGTAATTTCGAAGGTTGTTAAACTTTTTTTAAATTTTTTATATAAAGCATTTGAAAATATGCTTTTATAATTTGCAATTTTAGACACCTGGCATGCAATATCACACTGTAAGTTTCATCTGTTATAAAATAAATCAGTTGTAATTTACTTGCATTTTTTTTATGGCTATTTATTTAGGCTAGTTACATCAAAATGTATATATGGGTTCTTATAATTTGCTATTTTAGACGTGTCATGCTATATCACACTGTAATTTCAAATTAGTTGTAAAACTATTTATTTATTTTACTTGCAACTTTTTTATGTTAGTTACAACTAAGTTTATATATTGCTTGTTTATATATGCATAGAACTTGCTATTTTACATATGTGGCATTTAGACATGAGGTATTAAATTTAAATTCTAATATTAATACTCTTAACATGTTTATTTTTATTAAAAAAAAAGGTGAGAGACTTTTTTTTTTATTCTTGATACAAAAATTACACAACTATTGATGTGTGTAAAAATTTTAGAACCTTTAGAACCTTTCCCATAGCAGGTAAGGTTATCTTTTGTAACGTTTTTAATTTTTGTTTAACACATTGAAATGTAGAACTAATAAAATAACATAACTTTTATTAACAATTTAGAAATAAAGAATTACCAACAAATGTTTCTTACAGGGTTATTAGTAAAAATTTATTTCCATTTTGTATTATGATATACCATTTATATTCAGTATTTTCTTTATTGTGTTTTAAGGTTTGTTTATCTTTTAATAATCGACAACAGGTTGCTGGAATTGAAATGTGCACAAACATGAATTTACGACAGTATTAAAAATTGAAACCTGGTATAATAACAATTGTATACATGTTCATGTTATTTATATAAATGTTTTTTGACCTTGAATATAGTAACTGTATTCATAAAGTATTAATATTAAAAAACATTTTATATTTTTATTTAAATTTTTTAATTTTTACTGTTATTGAAAGTTTCTATACTGAAAAAAATTATTTTAAATATTTAATTAGTTTTCAATTAAAATGTTTAAACGTTTTTAATGCTAAAAAATCTCTCCCGATCAAGTTAGTTTGAATAAGTAGTACTGGTTGAATCAGATGTTGAATAACATAATAAAATAATCTATATATTAAAAATAAGGACTATTTTGTAATGAAATGTCAGTTCTATCTGGCTTAATCCCTTTCTAATCTTAATAAAGGGAATAATAATTTATTCAATATGATGACATAGTAAATTTATTTTTTTACCAAAACGGCTAAAGCTGCCTAGTGTAATGATTCCTTTATTTTAACGAATTGTATATTGCACGAAGAAAAAAAAATTGTAATTTCAACAGATTATTATTGACAAACTTCAATCCATTAAAATTTTAATCTGTTAACATAAAGGAAAATTTGTTGGTACAATAGTGACAGATGCAGTTTGTTGTATATATATATATATATATATATATATATATATATATATATATATATATATATATATATATATATATATATATATATATATATATATATATATATATATATATATATATATACATATGTGTATATATATATGTATATATGTATATATATATATATGTATATATGTATATATATATATATATATATATATATATATATATATATATATATACATATACGTATATATATATATATATATATATATATATATATATATTTATATACATATATATACATAATATCATATTACAAAATAATGAACTGTAAATGAGCTCAAATTAAAGTTATCAATACAAAAAACAAAAAAGTAAAAAAAAGAAATTTAAATACTCAAAATTAAAAAAAAAAATTCATAAACTTAAAAAAACCTTGACACAAGAAGCTGCAATATCTTTTCATGGGTTTCAACAAATTTATTAAATTGATACATTTTTCCACAACTACAAATAATCACAAAAATTTATATTAAATTAATATATATTAAATTAGAATTTTTATATAAAATAGCATAGCATCAGCACTCTAATGAACAGTCAACTAACATTGATTGGCTAGATTTGTTAACTAACATTGATTGACTAGATTTGTAAAAAACAATTTTTTAACCTCTGTAGTCATCAGTTTTTTATTTTGAATAAAGTAACATAAATTGGGGGAAAATAAGTAAACAATTCAAAAAATAAATTCAACTTACTTCCATACTGGATTGGACTGACTGAACAAATAATATCCATGAATAACAGCACACAGTCTATCTGCAGTTATAGAAAGAACATCACCTTCTTTAGAACTTTTATTTTCAACATTTGTTGTTGAAATTCCAGAATCAAGAGATGTTGATGGCATGCTGCTATGTTGATGCAATTGTGAAGGGCTAAGTTGTGCAATAGATTGGCTTTCAGTTTGAAGTTGAGAGAAACTTAAATTAATTCTATTTACAGAGCTGTCTGAACTTCTTCTATGAATACTAATATTTTCCATAGATCTGCTTATTGAATTTGGTAAAATTTCCTGATCAGTTGTTTCCATTGCATTATGATAGCTGTCTGACCTTGATAGTGGCATGGATGACGGTGTTTGATTTATTGTTAATTGAACTGCAGGTTGAGTTAACCGCAATGACTCATTAATAGGTGGAGCTGATAAACAGCTTTTAGAATTGACTACTTTTGACTTAACATATGAATTACTTGGATAAAGCTCACTTTGCAGAATTTTCATCCATGTATTTAAACTTTCCCATAATGTATCTGTTTCAAAATTTATACTCGCAATATTTTGTGGTTGCAGTGTTGCTTTTCTTGGTGAGGTAGAAATATCAGAACCAGTTCTTCTATGAGTGCGCATCCTAAAACTTTCAGAATGACTTTCCGAGGTGAGCATTTTGTTATATACCTTTATCACTTTTAAAAAACGTTCAGTTGTTAGTTTATAATCACTTGATGGGCTTAAAAGTTTCAAACCTTCAAGTCTAACTTGTGATGCTAACTCTTGCAGCATGAAGTCTCTATAATCTTGACGTTGTTCACCAATATATAGAAATGCAGCTTCCACCTAAAATAACTTTCTGCATAATTATATAATTGAAATATTTTCTGCATAATTATATATTTAGGAATAGTTTAGATTAAAAAAAAAGATTAATACTAAATTTACATTTTTAATATCAGCGTTTGGTGAAAGAGAGGATTGGATCAAACCAGAAAGAAGTTTGAAATCTTTGTCTTTATAATCCAGAATAACATAACAAACCTGTCCATAACCAGCCTACATTAAAACAAATATAAAATTAATATAACTTTGATTTTTCTCTCACAGTATGTTTTACATTCTTGAAAGCTTTTTGTGTGTTTTAAAACAAATTTTTCCTCACTGTGTGTTTTACATCACCTGCTTAAAGGTCTCTTTCTATGTTTGTAAAATATATTTATTTTGTTTTTTAGCATCAAGTTTACAATTTAATTAATTATACAAGCTCACAGTTTGAATGGATAAAAAATGTGATCTTGTTGTTGTTTGTTTTACAAAAGATTTTGTGTAATAAAATAAAACAGATATCAAAATTGTAGTCTACAAATTTTAGAGAGAACTTTATAACTCATATATTTATAATAAATTATAACATATATTTATAAATATAAACATTTTTTAAGTTAAATCAAAATAAAGAAACTTTATAAATTTTAATGAAAAAAATTGTAAAAACATTTAGGAATTTGTTGTACACACTTTTAGAAAAAGTGCTAATAAAAAACTCAAAATAAACCTACTAAACAAACGCTGTGTGTTCAGTTTGTGTGTTCTCAAGAAATCACAATTTTTTTAAAACAGTTTTAAAAAAATTCCTCTGAAGGAGTTTTGAAGATTGAAATGTAAAAAAAAAACAACTATAAAATATATAAATAATAATATAAAAATAATAATATATAAATAATTATAAAAAATAACTATAACAACTTTTGCGACATTAAAATTTTTTCTTTAAAAGTATGGAAAATATACTTTCAAAACAAAAATAAAAAAATTACAAGAAAAGCAGCATCTAGAGGCGTTTGTTTATCAGAGTTTGATGTAAGCAAAGCACCATTGCAGATCAACACTTTTGCAACTTCAGCATGTCCATGTCTATGAAATTTTTTTTTGAATTATTACCAACACATACAAATAAAAAAAAAAACTTAAAAAAAACAAATTATTCAGACAAACACTTATTGGACACCTATTATTCTGATTAAAATTTAAACCCATAATTAAAGTTTAAACCCATAACTAAAGTTTAAAACATATTGCAGTTTATGAGTAAAGTTTATTTTACATAAAGTTTAAACCTCCATCCTACCACTCCACCTTCATCATACCACTAACATAACCACCATCATACCACTAACGCAAAATATACAAAAAAATACTTTTAAAGAAAAGAAACCTGCAAGCAAAAAATAATGGAGTACATCCAGTTGTGTTAGTTTTCTCAATATTTGCATGAAATTCCAGCAATTTCAACACTGTCTAAATATCAATTTTAAATCTAAATAAAATTTGTAACATTAAGTTATCTAAATCTTGTTAAAAAATCATGTCCTGTTTGTAAATTTAGACATACTGATAGAAAAAGAGCTATATGTAACAGTTTTAGTGAATTTTGACTTACAGATTTATGACCATTAAGACAAGCAACATGAAGAGGTGTTTGTAAATTAAAATCCTGAAAATAATATTGATGTTATTAATAAAATTTAATAAAACAGCATAAACAAAAAAAATAAAACAAATAAAAAAAAATTAAAAAAAAAATAATATAAATATTTTTAAGCTAACAACTATAATAAAAATAATGACTTTTTTAAACTTGTTTCTCCATGCAGCAGCTCTGTTCACCAAGGTTTTTTTTTTGTGGAGGTAATGAGTTGAAAGAGATTAAAAAAAGAGAGAAAAAAGACTGGATTAGTAGAAAAAAATAGATTAGACTTCAATTATAGTGACTCCACCTTAGATGACCTTGAGTGAGAGTAATGCAGTTTAAAAAAATGTTAAATAATGGTATAATCTGGGATAATACTATACATATGATTATTTGACGTTAGTATAAAAGAAAATAAAATTGTAACATTTTTAAAAGAATAATTTTATTTTTCAAAAATTCACTTTTACAAAACTTGAGCAGTTTTTCAACATTCACCAATAAATTATGTGTTAAAAAGGACAATAAAATCAATTATAGAAATAAATGACTACTTTATGGTATTAAAATATAAAAGTATGAACGCATTAAATTATGAGGGAGATAAAAAATAACAATATAATCTTTACTTACTGTGATATCAATGTCTTTAATAAATTTAGAAATTTCAGAAAATATTTCAGTTCGACCATTTGATGCCAACCAATGAATCTAAAAATTTTATTTTTTTACAACATTTAAGATTAGTTACCATGCTCAATCTAATTTTACCCACAATTAAATTAGGGGAATCGTATAAAAATTTTCTTCTTGTATACATTTTGCCTTGACCATCTTTACCTCCCCTAGTTTGTGGGGTTATGGTATGTAAGTATAAAAGTATGAAACTTAGTCATATTAGAAACTTCTTTGTTTTTTAAATTTTATTTTTTATATTATTTTTATTCTAAGCAATAATCTTCAACAATAATTTTTTTAATTTCAACTTACAGCAGTCATTCATTCATTATTTTAATTTCAACTCACAGCAGTCATTCCTTCATTATTTTAATTTCAACTCACAACAGTCATTCATTTATTATTTTAATTTTAACTCACAGCAGTCATTCCTTCATTATTTTAATTTTAACTCACAGCAGTCATTCCTTCATTATTTTAATTTCAACTCACAACAGTCATTTCTTCATTATTTTAATTTCAACTCACAACAGTCATTCATTCATTATTTTAATTTTAACTCATAGCAGTCATTCCTTCATTATTTTTTACCTTAATATCTGCGCCATATTTTTTTAACTTTAACTTACAGCAGTCATTCCTTCATTATTTTTTATCTCAATATCTGCACCATATTCAAGTAGTTTAGCAATGCATTTTGAAAACCTAAAAAAAATTTAAAATAAAATTAATCATTTATATTATTTATAAACTTGTGTTTTTTTATATATAAGAAATTATATTTAAAATATAAAATTTCTCATATAAAATATAAAGATGGTTTTATATATAACACGATAATGATGGTACACTTTTTATATAATTAACCATTATCATAATTGTAAATCATCATCATAATAAATTTTGAATTCTCATATCCGTTAGTTTTAAGCAAAGATATCTGTATACATACATAATTAAAAATATGTAAATCCAAATATATATGTATGTATATTTATGTTTTTATACATGTAAATACCCATATATATGCATTATGCTATGTGCTTTATAGAATATTTTACTTCTCTCTCCTTTCTGGATTAATGAACATCGTTATAAAATATTATGAAACCAAAAATTATGAAACAAATAAAAGAGTTAAAACAAAAATGACAACTTTTTTTATGTGTTTATTAATGCAAATGAAAGATTTTTGTCATATAAAACAAATGAAAGAGTTTTGCCATATAAAACAAATGAAAGAGTTTTATAAATTAAGTTAACATTAAATATCTATACAAACGAACCAAATTAAATTAAACTGCCATTAAATAATCAAAAAAATATTAGCGAAGCTTACCCATTTCTTGATGCGACCTGCAATGGTGTAATTCCTTGTCTATCTTGCACATTTGGCAATGCACCTTTTTTTAGCAAATGCCAGAGACACTCATATGCTCCAACACTATAAGCATAACAAAAAAACATTATTTTAAAAGTATTTTAATTCAATTTTTTTTCTCTTAGTTTCTGTAGTCTGTTTTACTGACTTTATACTGCACAGTGGTTCAGATATACTGCAAAGTGATGCAGATATAGAACCTCTCAGCTTTACCTTTAAGCACCAAAAAACTTTTTGAATATCTTGTTAATCAAAAACCAAAAACATTATTTGATACAGCAAATGACATAAAATATAAATGGGTACCTTACCTACAAGAATTAGTCTAAAATTATTCTATAAATTCTTATTAATAGTTATAGTTACCCAAGTATATTTAAAAATATTTTTATGAAAAAAATGTCTGATTTTTAATAAGCATTTGAATAGTTAAAGATAGCAATTTAAATTTATTTATAACTATAGTACTCGAAAATATTTATTAATTATAATTATTTCTTTAATTATTGAAATAAATATCTATAGATATAATTTAAGCGATTAGAAATGATGGCACAAAATAAGTATCAGAAATGCAGTCTCCTTTAGCTTTATAAAATGTTCAAGTCAAAGACTCAATAATTTGTGTGGGATAACCAAGCATGTTTTGTAAAACTTTTTTCTTAAGTTATTTACTTATTTGATAATTTATTTGCGGTTTTTTGATCAGTTTCAATAAGATTAAGATTAAACAACAAACTCTCACATCGGTGTAAAATTGATTTCACTGTGTCACCTAATTATTTTCATTTTCAATGATCATTTTCAATACAGCATGTAAAGAAGAAATTGAAGGCGAGCGGTCAATTTGACCAGCTAACCCTTGGAATTGACAGTCAACATTTTTATTATATTCTTTGTTTTCATTTTAATCTTCCTAATAGTTCTTCATGACTGAACTTTATAAATACAAAAATAACTTATTATTTGATAATTAATGAATTAGTATTCCTTTTTTAAACCTGTAAATAACATTAAAATTTTATGCCAATGTTAATAGTTTAAAATTGAGCGCGCAGATTTTCATTTTACTTCTTAAAGGAAGTTTGATAAACTGATAAACTTTTTCAAAGTTTTAATTATTATTTTAATGATTAATTTAGTACATGCTTTTTCCAAATAATAATCGGATTATTTATATCAATTATTAATTAAATCTTTTTAAACAAAATTAATGTAAATCTGTTCATTCCATTTTGTGTGATAGCATTTTTAATTCTCAATCTCACGCATATCTTCCTAATGATGTTGAGTTAGCTTTGATTTTTAGGCATTTAGTTCCTTTATTTTCTACTGAGGCAAATTTTTATCAATACAGTCTTCTTCTTTTTGCAACTTTTCTTATCTTTTTTGTTTTAATGAATCTTTATAATGTGAATGTTTACATTTTTGATAACTGATTTTGTTATTTCCACATTGCAAAACTCCACCAACTTGGAGAATTCCATCATATACTTGTCTTTAGGCAACCAAAGAGCTCTCGCAATTATCAATCATCTTGCATCATCATCATCAAGAACATCTGAGTTGATAGAAAACCCACTTACAACCTGTGAATTACCATGTGACGAAGTTAATTTTGGATACTTCGAATAATTCTTTAAAATTCTGGCTTATAAAAGGGGATAAAAAAACATCCAACCTATCCTTATAAACATTGCAAATTGTAAATTTTAATCTAAGGATGCCTTTTGCAAGATCATATAAATCTGATTATTGACCTTGTAATCTATTGTAGCATTAATTTACAATAACTGATAAGGCAAATAACATTATTAGATCTTATTTAATAAAGTTTTGAGAGATCTCATAAGCTTTTCAAGTTCTTCATATGAGAATGGTGAAATGCTAACGGAGACTGAAAAAGTCTTAAAATGGCTCTGTAATTAAGCTAAACATTGAAAAAACCAGTAGATCATTGACAGCAGTATTATTTACCAGTAGATCATTGACAGCATCAGGAACAATGTTTACAGTATAATTATTAGGTAGTTTAGACTGTGTGACATACAACTTCATATTATTATAAATATCTAAAGCTTTTTGACACACAGATACATTTTTAACGCATCTTGTGGAACAAAATTTTAGAGGAAACTTGTCACTTCCAAAAACTGTTTGATAATCTGCCCTACAAACAGGACTATCATGAAAAAGTTTATAAGACCTTTGAGTATTGACCTTATTATGACTATATGCTTGAAATGTTCCATTAATAATTCCATTTTTAGAATAAATGTTTCAATGTTTTAGAATAAATGTTTCTTTTTACCAAATTCATCATTGAGAATATCAAAAAACTTACAATTCACATTTGGTCCATTCATAGAAGTTTGTAAAATTTTTCCGAGAACATTTTTATTTAAAACACTTTTAAACCCTTTGTACAAATTATTTGCAGACGCATGATTAAGAAACACTGATAAAAAATCTTGTAGTCTTATGATAAATAAAATGAATAAAATCCTAATAATAAATGCAAATATGTATTTGACCTTTTTGAACAACTTTGTGTAAAGGCTCATCGAAACATACAATTATGTGTGAAGAGCTTAACCACTAATGGGACGACAGTTAAATCAGATCGTTTGAATTTTTGAAAATAGCAATAAAAGATGCCACTTTCCAGCAGGCTGGAAAACAAGACTCTGATAAGCACTTAAATAGTTAAATAGTTTTGAAAGATTGTTGTCCGGACAAGAAGCTGTAGAAGAGTCTAGAATCTAAATTACTTTAGATTCAGAAGCTGGAATGACAGCTTTTTGTGATTAGCGGAATCAAGAGATGAAGTTGATAAAAAGTTCTTAGCAAGCAATTCAGTTTTGTCTTTAGGTGAGGTAACAAAATCTGAACCATGCAAGAGAGGTGGAATAACAGATTTGCTCTTATTATAGACAACGATTCTCTAGAAGTCTCTGGAGCCTAATTTTTGAGATGAAATATAAGATTTTGTAACCTGAGAATAGCAAGCTTTGGTGTAAGACAAAATCTTTTTACAATAATTTCTTGCAATAATACACAGACATGTCTTTTCTAAAAAAATTGTTTTGATGATAGATATGGAAGTAATGGTTACAATTGAAAATTGCAGCAGCACAATAAAAGAAAAACCATGGAGAAAAGTGAGGCTTGACTTAGAATTGCCAAGAGGGAATAAAACATTCCATCTCTGAATCCAAGAAGATATATTTTTTTTGCTGATGACTTCTCTTTTCAATCGCTTATAACAGGCAGTTGATCTTGAATTATGGCTTATAAATTTTAATTCCAAAAAAGTTATTTACTGAAATCTACTATCGCAGTACAGAATGGCAAACCTCTCACTGAGTTTTCTTCTTTACATCTTCTTGGATAATCATTTACTACTGACCTTTCATGGAAACCATATATACAATTAATTGGTAAATTAGTATCGTGCTCGCCATTTTCTCTCTCCTGATTCCATTCTCTACTTCTACAAATCTCTTATTCACCCCTAACTCAAAGTGAAAATTACTTTTTGTTATGTTTTTAATTGTGTTTTAAATAAATTACTTAAAACCTTTTGAAATGTTTTGTTAACAAAAAACACTTTTACAGATTACTTCAAACAATTGTTTAATAAACAAATTTTATTTAAATTAATTAAAAGTGTTATATAAATTATTTTTAACATTTATTTTTTCCAAAAAGTAGCACACACACAAAAAAAAATTTAAAAAAATATCTATTTAAAATAACAACTTTTATCCATTTCATGTCTGATTTGCTCTGTCAAGTTTAAAAAAAAAGTTTTAAACAATTCTTTATGAAAATAGAAAAAAAAAAATTAAATAAAGCAATTAAATCATTGCTAACAGAAGATTTTAACTTTTAATGTAACTTAAAAAATTATCTTTCAAAAGATTTTTAGAAAGACATGTTTCAACGAATAGTTTCAAATTTTTAAATTTATCATAAAAAACATTCCTATATAAAAAAAAATTATTTGTTAAATTGTTTGTTAATTTACACAAAATTTTACTAACTATTTTTTTATTATTTAAAAACTTTCACACAAGATAAAAACTTTAGAAAAGATCAACAATTAAAAGTTATTCATAATGTTACAATTTGTTTTATAGCATTTTAATTGTTAAAACATCAAAACCACCATGGTTAAATTGTAAAGAAAAAAAATAAGCGTGTCAGTTACAGCGTGTGATTGCACGCCATTCCTGTCCAAGCCTGCTGGATACGTTGCTGTTAGCTGAAGTATAAAGAGAAAGGACTTGGTCAACTTAATCATAAATAACATATGAAAAAAAACTGTAGTCTTGAGATGAAAGAGAGTGATATAGAACAAAGAGAAAAACAATAGATTCAAGTGGTGCTAAATGAAAGCACATAAAAGAATAGTCTATAGATTCAAATCTAATTTCCTGACAAATAGGTGAATTTTTACAAATGTAATTGCCAAGACCAAGCATGTAACTATTAGAGTCTTTACGAATTAAAGGAAGATACCCATCAAAAAGATGAATCAAGATCACAAGATGAGACAGCTGAAATCAAATTATTCTCACAAAGAGAAAGTAGGTCTGGTGAAATTTGCAAAAGGTAAGACTAAATAGAAGAAAAGTTACTTCAAAGCCTACAAATATTAGTGAATATTAATGAAAGATTTGGAGAACTTGGTGATAATGATAGTTTTTTGTGTTTTATAGTTTTTTAATAATGTAGTCTTTTTATAAATTGGTTTTAAAAACTTGTTTTGAAGCACAAGTAGTACTCAGTGCACAATTTAATAGTCCAAGCAATTGCCTCATTACTATTAATAGACCTAAGCTGTAACAAAGAGCTCCAAATGTGTGCTCAACAATGCAAAGTGGGAACAGGATGCCGTCTGTGCACAGCATAGCACTGTTAGTGCTATGCTGAAGGGATACCATCCATGCACAACAAAGCACTGTTAGTACTCTGATAGTTTACAGCTTTTAATGGAATGAGCCTCTCTGAGAGCTATTACAGAGTTCGGAAACCTGACTACCAGCTGGCCTCAGAACCATCAAACTTTAGAGTTTTAGAAATGTACCCTCATTAGGAGATAATAAAATGAGTTGCCTAGTCATGAAAACAGAGAAACAAGCAAAACCCATGCAATGAGTCAAGATCCAGCATTCAACATCTTAAACTGAAAACAATGTATTATGAATAACTATGCCAGCCTAATAAATGAAAAAGGGGTGCGAAAATGGTCAACAGATGGCCTTTTAATTGATTGACAAATCAATTAAAGAATCTTTTTTAAAAGCGATTTACAAGATAAAAGTTCACAAGAGATTATAGGGCAGCATTCAAAATTAACAGTTGTTTCTTTAAAGATATCAGTATTTTTTCTACTACAATCAGAAAACCAAGTATTTGTATAATTTGTTACTAAACCACAAAAATTATTTGTGATTTAGTAAAAAATTATGCGCATATATGTATATATATTTTTATAATTATAATTTTTTTTACTTGCTTTATTATTACTTTGTTTTAAAAGCCAGCCAAAATCATGATACAATACATATTTTGTGATTATTAGAGTTCGCAGGCAGAGAAAAAATAAAGGCAGTAATAAATGGCATAAATGCATAAAAGGCATAAATGCATAAAAAGGCATAAATGCATAAAAAGGCATAAATGCATAAAAAGGCATAAATGCATAAAAATTTCTTTTATGAAAAGGCATAAATGCAGTTTCTTGTTTTATATTTAGTTCATATGATTTAATAGTTGTTCGTTTTATATTTAATTTACATTTAGTTATGGTTTAACTCTTTCACTACCGCAAGCCACTGGTAGCAGATTTCGAGTATGCTTTACAATTTATCTTGTTTTGTACATAAATTTCCATTCTAGACACATAGAATTTGTTTGTTCTGAAGGTTTAATTAGTTCTCTACATGATTAAGAAAAAATAAGAGCTATATGGTGTAATTATAAAAAAGTTATCACAAAGTTAAAAAATCTTGAATAATCCTTCATAAAAAAACTTAAAATTTAGTTATAAAATAAAACAGCGTTAACATTGTAAAATTTAACTTGTAAAGGTGTCAAGTATTTAGTTAAGTAATTACCAAAGAATTTTGAAGAAAATATATTCTTTTTATTCATTAAATGAGGTTTGTTTCAGACTTAATGTTTTAGTTACTACTTTTAAAAACAATAGTTTTAAGCGCTTTGCATTTCTTATTGTTTAATGATGCGTGTTAAAAATTTTATTACTATCGAATTTTAATTAATTGTCAATGTTATGCTATTAAAATTTTAATTGAAAAGATGTGCGGTTGCTACAAAAAGATTTTTGCTTGGTAGTGAACAAGTTTATGCGATTCTTCGTTTTTATGTTTATATTATAACTATTATACTATAACTATACAAATATTTGTTTTAACTTTATTTTAGTTTGATTTGTACGTTTATTTGTAAAACTATTAATTAATATTTATTTTCTATTTAGTTCAGTTTATATGTTTTATTCAAGTTGCTCGTTTTTTATTCAGTTTAAACTAATTTATACTTATATTAAATTAGTAAAATTATTCTTTTAGTATCTAGTTTATATTTAGTTTTATACTTAGTTTAGTAAGTTTTAATGTAAATATTTGTTGTATATTAAATTTTTATTTTTATAAATTTTATAAATTTATTTTTTTAATTGCATCACAAACTTTTATTTGGGATTTAGAAAAATGTTATATTCAATCAACACGATTTAATTGATTGTGGCAAAAAAATAATACGATATCTTGAAAGAAAAAATTTATAGGATGACGCCATACCGCCATATACCATATATCTGCAGACTTGATAATAAATTATCAAGTCTGCAGATAGCGGCTTATAATATACAGACTCCGATAACCAAAAAAAATGTAGATGGCAAGCTTCAACTAAAAGGTGAATTTTAAAATTAATGGTGTGTATTCATTTTTTAGTTTTAATCAAAAAATTTTAGCCCAAATGTTTTTTTTAAACATTTTCTTTAATATGAACATAACCTGTCTCAGCAGTTGGGAATCCCTTTAGTGTTTTTAGTAAATTGTAAAAAAATTGATTTTTATTTGGTTGCTAAGAACACATGAGCTATATAGCTACAATAAATCTAAACTTAATGAACTATTTCTACAAATCCTGAACAACTAAGACTGTTCTAAAAGATTGTTTCAAATTCTTTTTTAAAGACTTTTAAAATCACTTTTTATTTTACAAAAATAAAATATTTATCTTAAGAAAAAATGAAATTATTTAAAAATAAAAAAAATTCTACAAGTCCTAGAACTAGCAACAGCAGGAATTAGTAGTTTGTTACATGTTCAAATACATTTTCAAATTAGTCTGTATAAATAGAATCACTTTTTTTAATAACTGTATAAAATAGAATGATGGTATTTGAAGAAAGTCTTATAACCTTGGCAACTATGCAAAATGCTCTCCTGCTATGCTATGCATTTCAAGTTTCCCTAGCAACCGAATAAAAATCAGTGTCATAGTTCCACAAGAAACATGAAAAATACTCAATCTGGTGATTATTAAAAAAAATCAGATAAAAATTTTAAAAGTCATAAGTTTTGTCCTTATAGTGATGATTTTGGCCCGCTGCACAATCTTTACAAACAAAGTCAGTAAATAATGATTTTGGTCCACTGTGCAACCTTGACAAACAAAGAGTTACTTTTAGTAAAAGTAAAATACGATTAAAAACATAAAAAGTAAAACATGCAAATAAAAAAACAATTTTTCAATAAGTTAATAAAAAGAATAATCAGAAAGAAAAAAAAAATTTAATGTAAACTAATTTAATTGCAAAATTAAAAATTAATTGCAAAGCAAAACAAGTGAGAAAACAAAAATAATTAACAAACATATTTATAACAAAAATGAAATACTTAGCCGCCATAAGCGTAAAGAGTGAGAAAACAAAAAAAACTATATTTAACAAACATATTTATAACACTAACATATTTATAACAAACATATTTATAACACAAATAAAATAAATACTTAGCCGCCATATGTAACAATGTTCTTTTTGATTTTCCAGAAAAAAAATTGACATCAAAATTTTTTCCAGTTCCAAGAAGTTCAACAAATGTTCTAATCAAAAAATATAAATTTATATGTATATTTACAATAGTGTAAAGTTAGATTTTTTCCCATTATTTTCAGTTTTACCATATTCTTATATGAGTTATAGGCAATGATTACACAAAAAACAATAAAAAAATTATAAGGTTACAATAGTTACACAGATTTTTTCTTTATATTTATATAGTTACAATTAACACACATTACAAAAAGATCTTTTAGTAAATAAAAAAAGCCATATTGTATGAAAATTTCAAATATTTTATATCATATTTTATATATAAACTTACATTTTACTGCTTATTAATAATTTAAAAACTTTGGCAAGCGCATAAAAAAAAGCTTGCCAAAAAAATAAAAGTGTTTTATTTTAAATCACGACAAAAAACTTTTTTGTTCATTCGTTCAACTTTAAAGAAAAATGCTTTTTTTAACCTGTTTTTTTTTTTAATTATTATATATAGTATTTATTCAAAGCGTTCTTTTTCCTATTTTTATTTTAATTTAAAAAGCAGAAAAAAAAACAATTTTTTAAATCGCGCAGGCTAATTTAAAAATGACCATCCTGCCAGCGCTTATTTGGGAACTGGCATTAAATTTCAAATGGAGAAGACTGAGCACCATATTTTTTTAAAGAATATATTTAAGTCTTCATTTTTTAAGTAAAAGTATTTTTATCATAGTTTAGACAAAGAAAGGATTTTGATTAAATATTCAGCTTATTTGTAACTGAAATTTCTAGAACATATAAGAATATATGAAAGAATCAGGATTAAATATAAGTATTTAATTTGTTTGCAGGATTAAAAATTTATTTGTTAGGATTGAATATTATTAAACAGTTTATTTGTAACTAGAAATTCTAGAATATATTTTAGTGGTAGTGATTTACTCCAACATTACAAGAAAAGAATATTCAATTATATTGAATATTCTTTTCTTGTAATGTTGGAGTAAATCACTACTATACATTACAAGAAAAGAATATTCATTTTTATTATTCTTTTTATTATTTTTTTCTTGTAATGTTGGAGTAAATCACTACTATACATTACAAGAAAAGAATATTCAATTCTCCCATCTTCATGTTTTCCTGACTCATACAACCTTCAACTTTTCAAGTCTTCTGTCAACTGTTTCCTTGCTCTATAACTCTGTTCTTTTTTTTTCCTAGTAACTCCCAACTTAATAGTGGTTGCTTGCAGCCTTGTTGGGAGTGAATGCAAATAAAAAAAAAAAAAAAAAAAAAATGAGCATATTTAATTTTTTTGTAAATCAAACTTTTGTATCAACTGCGTGCGGTTTTTAAAATACTTTATAAAATGTTAAAATAATCGTAAATTACTTGATTAAAATTTCGCTCAAAAATATCTTTAAATATACTCAAACAAAAATTTTTTTGCTCGACGCAAATAGCCCTAGCTACACGCAAAATCGCTCTTGGACGACGTATTCACATCGCCCGACGCTTTATTGCAAGGCTTGTAATATATATATATATATATATATACACACACATATATATATATATATATATATATATATATATATATATATATATATATATATATATATATATATATGTATATATATATATATATATATATATATATATATATATATACACACACATACAGAAAAACAATTGCATCATTTTACCATTTTATAAGGAATTTAAACAAAATATTAACTTTACCAATTTTACTGTTATTATAATTTAGAGTTAATGAAACTTTTGTGTTTCTAATTTTATTTTAATTTTTTTATTTATAAATAAAAAGGTTTATTTAGAGGTAATTAAAAACAAATTTTTATTTATATAAATTACTTATAGTATTTTATTCATTTGAATATATATATATATATAAATATATATATATATATATATATATATATATATATATATATACATATATATATATATATATATATATATATATATATACATATATATATATATATATATATATATATATATATATATATATATATATATATATATATATATATATATATATATATATATATATATTACTTGGTTTATACTCTAAGTATTTTGTGGTTTTTTATATTTTTATTTTAACTTTAATTATTTTATTTTGAATCTAAATAAAACTTTAAAATATATTAAAAAATTATTTTCGTTTTTTTTTTTTAAATTGTTTGTTAACTATTTGAATAAATGATTCACATTTTGAATTTAGTTAAAACGTTCTTTCTTTCCATTGGCTTTTGGAAATATTTTATTTAGAAATTAAAATGTATTTTGTGTTAATTTTAATTATTTTATTTAAATTTGAACATTTTGCCATTTTAATTTTAACTACTTTATTTAGAATTTAGAATAAAATTTAGAATAAAAAGTTCAATATTCCATTTTTATTTTAATTAACTTATTTTGAATTTAAATTTAAAGAAGTTGGTTTTGCTGATTAGTTTTTTAAATTACTTTATTCAGAATTTAAATAAAACTGTTTTTGCTGCTTTTTGCTGTTTTTTTATTTTACAGTTTATTAAAATTTAAAAAAAAAAAAGTTCTTTAATCTGTTTTTAATTAAAATATTTTATTTAGAACTAAAATAAAAAGTTTGCTTAGCTGTTTTTCTTTTATTCTAAATATTGAGAAAATTGAGCAGCAACAGTGCAGTGGTTAGCGCACTTCCCTCAGAAGCTAGAGATTAAAGGTTCAACACCACCTTTGGGTAAACTTTACAACATTGGTAAGGAAGGAGGCGTGAACTTCTTTTTAAATGCTCTCAATAACATTGTTTTAATAGAAGTATTTGTTATATATTACAAATGCATGATGAATTACCTGTGCTGATTCTGCATTATAAATGATAGTAACATAAAATATGCTGCCTTTGGGTCTATAAAACATAATGAAAAAAAGTCTTTTCTTTGTTCAATATAATAATAAATAACCTAACAATTAAAATGTTTGTGTTTCTCTTAAGCAATTTATACCTTCTGGTAGTTCGTAAGATCTTCCTGATTTTAATGAACGAACAAGTCTCTGAACAGCCTCCATTTTAACAAAACCTGAAATACATAATAAATACAAATGTAATAAAAGTGAGTTCTTACTATTATATTAATTGTTACTATCTTTAATATTTGTTTTTATTATTGTTATAGTCACAGAGATTATTCTAGAAGCGTCGACCGTATTGGGCACTGCCCAAATTAAAATTTGAGGACCTTTTTTTTTTATTATTATTTTGCTATAAAAACTCTTTCTGCTAAAGTTTGCCGGAACAACCCCTTATGTTTATACAATAAAAATGCTTTGCAAAAAGTTACAATGGTCGGAACCTGGAAATAAAAAAACCCTAAAATATTAGCTACACCTGCCTCAGTAGAGAGAGCAACAAGTTGATAAAAAATTTTTTTCACTTTTCTCAATTAAAATTATATTTATCAATAAAATTCTAATTTCATAGTTTTATCTCTTACCACAGGGAGTACCGAAGCAGTACCCCCTGCTCAAATTTTTTTCCTAGAAAAGGCCCTGAGTTATATATCAAGCGCGGATGCAGCATTGTTTGATGTTTGAGCTAACTTCCATACATGAAGCAAACTATAAACATTTATACCTTAATACTTATGTCAAATAAGGATGCTTTGCAATAAAAAGTAATGATTGAAGCCTGGGAACAATAAAGTTCTAAAATATTAGCTACACCTGCTCTATAAGCGAGAGCAACAAGTTGATAAACACATTTTATATGGTCATAATTTTGAAATGATAAGATAACTATGAAATTAGAATTTTATTGATGAATATAATTTTAATTGAGAAAAGTGAAAGAATTTTTTTTATGAACTTGTTGCTCTCTCTATTGAGGCAGGTGTAGCTAATATTTTAGGGTTTTTTTATTTCCAGGTTCCGACCATTGTAATTTTTTGCAAAGCATTTTTATTGTATAAACATATAAATGTTTGGATTATGCTTCATGTCTGGAAGTTAGTTATCTCAAACATCAAATTGAGCTGCATTCGAACCTGTATACCATAACTTAAAGTGTGAAATGATAGCAATAAAAAAACAACAACTAACAAACATTAAAATAAACAGTTCAACATGATGACAGATAATTAAAGTCTTTGAGTTCAAAGTTGTCTTAAGATGGATATATAAAATAGATCTAGCAATTTAACTTTGAACATTTTTACTATATTTTATACTAAAACTGCTTTGATGCTGTGTTATGTTTTTTTTAATATATAAAAATAAATTAAAAAAAAAATTGAAACTGGTTAATTTAATTGTGTAGCATTTAATTATGAAGCATTTAGCAATCTCAATTGTATTTCTATTAAATTTACTTTTATGAAATTTTTGTCACTAAATAATAAGTTCACCAGAACTACATTCAATTAACTAAGCACTATAAGTGCTTGATTTATAATCAACAATACTAATTATTACTTTCAATTTAAAAAAAAAAAATTGATTAGAAAGTACACACTTGAGGTTGAGTTATAACCACATTAATACTATGACAGCCAATAATAAAAATCGAGTTAAAAATTATAATATTTTTCGATACTGGTTTTAAAATTTTTTGAATTTGTAAATATTCTGCATATTCTACAATTGTTACTTCAGCTGGATCACACCTGGAGGGTGGTGAAAATTAAGGTGGAGGGTGGTGAAAATTCTCTCCCTTTTGAAATTATATACATTTGAATCGAATCAGAACCTTCTATCTTGCAAAGTTGGCAATTCTAATATCTTTAATCTTTCTTAATGTAATTTTCCCAGAAATTAAATTGTTTTTAATGAGATGCACCATCATCTAGAATCTAATAATTCTCTTCATAATTTTAAAAACAATTGATGTTAATGAAACCGGTCTATAAATGGTATCTTATTTATTACCCTTCTTAAATGATGGAATGTTTGTACATGACCATAAATTTGGCATATTATATTGCCTGTATGAATGATTTATCAAATAGTAATGCTAAAGTGCAAAGATTCTGAACATTCCTTATTCAAAAATAAGAAATTCTAAATTTATTAGGAGTTTACTATCTCTAAATTATTAGTTATAATGCCATTATGTAACTTGATGACTTTTATTGAATCTTTAATCCTTGTTTTGTTATTCATATACAAATAGATACCTTTAAGATTGTTTTATGAATTATAAATTAAGAACTAAGATTCTTTCAAAATTGTGAATATATTTTCTGATGAGTCTTGTTATTTTTTTATTTCATTTTTTTTATTTATAGACCTCAATGAGACTTTTGAAACTTGAATTTCTATTTCTAAACCTACATTTCTTTTTTTTTTTTATTACACATACTTTTAAGTTCACTTGCCATCCACGGCGAGCTTTTTTTTTTTGCTATTAGAAGTATTTTTACTTAATTAAATTTTTCAAACCCTATTTCATATTGTCATTAATGCCAAAACTTTCAAATTCCTGATGCCAGTTTATGTTTTTAAAATACAAATTTAACTATTTTTAGTTTTCCTTTTAATATATAATATCTTTTATAAATTTCAAAATCTTTTTTTTTGTTTTGTTGTGTTATTAACAAATTAGAGCTATTTGCATAACCAAATTGATATTTCAAAATATGATGTTCATGTTTGATGCCACCTAATGGCAGAAAATACTCCAGAATGCAAACTCAGTTGCTATTATCAGATAAATGAGGTCTAAAATGTTAACATCTATACCAAAGTTAACTCAAAAACTGAGTTACTCTTATGTCACTCTTATTTGCAATTTCAACTTAGTTTTCATTGTTCCGCTTGATGTTTGGGAATTGAAATCTTCATAAATAAAACAGTAAATTTCTTATGTTGTTTGCATACACTTTATTAGTGATTTTATGAAGTCAATAAATTTTTCATTTTTACTAAACCTGTTTGATACATAAATGGTATAAAATTTACTTTTTTCCAACTTCAATCAAACACTATACTTGTTCAATATTTACATTTATTAGATGTTTTCTATTTATTTCATGAGATCTAATATTCTCTTGCACATAAATACACACACCACCACCACAACTAAGTTGATGATGTTCGCTAAACAGAATATAACCTAGAATATAAGTAGCTGACATTACTGACCACAAAGTCTTGGTTAAATCAGGATTTACATAAATACTAAACTTAAAATGTAGTTTTTTTATTATATCATTCTTGTTTCCTTATTTGAAATAGGAAATTAACCAGTGGTTGTTGAGTTAAGAAATAATATTTCTTAACTCAACAACCACTAGTTAATTTCCTTTTTGTATTTAAATATAAATATACAATATCGTATTATGAATATCTATCTATAGTTGATCCAATAAACTAAAAACTTCACTTTCATCATCTTAAGATGATCTTAAGATGATGAAAGTGAAGTTTTTAGTTTATTGGATAAAGTTTAAAACAGCGTCTATTTTATTTGATTCTTCTATTAGAAGTATCAAATAAAATAGATGTTTTTGTTTGTTTGTTTTTTTTTATTTGGTTTTGTTTGTTTTTGTTTTTTATTGAATATACTAAGCTTTATTTGAAGCAGGAACAATAACTTTGTTTTTGCTAAAATATTCATTCTTGTCAGTTAATTTAACTGCTTTTGTTTCTAATGATCGTAACTTTTTATTTAAATCTGCTACAGCATTATTGATTTTTGATTTATATTATTTCTCAGTTTCCTATCTAGAATGTCTAAAGTCTCTTTAAACTCTTTTGCATTCACCATAATTAAAAATATTTAGACTAGATTGATTGATCATTAAGATTATTATATAAAAGGTTTTTAAATCATATAAAAAATTACTATATAAAGTGTTATAAAAATTACCTTCAAAAATTTATTCTAACCAAACATTATATATTGTGAGTATTGATCAACTTTAAAATTTATATATTGTAAGCAATGATCATTTGCACCCCCCTCCTCTCATGAGTTGCGCTTTATTGTATATTTTAGCTAACTTTTAATAAGCCGTTAACTTTCGATTTCATTTATAAATAATGTAAAAATGAAATCGAGTAACTAACATAAACAAGTCAGTAGCAACGAGTAACTCAGACGCCCAGCACAACATGTTATGAAGTTTTTTTTTTTTTTTTTAACATGTTTATTTTACAACTACAAAGTATTTACAATTGACCAATCATCGATTGGCGAAGAAAGATATACAAATATAAATATCGTAAACATAAAGTCCAAAATAAATAAGGGATAAATCTAAAATATTGTTACATTCAACTTTGAGACATGATAAAAATAAATACAAAGTACACAATAGAATAACGTGAACGTAAAAATTACCCAAGAACGTAAAAATTACCTTCTATATTCTTTCAATCAGAATAAAATATATATATATATATATATATATATATATATATATATATATATATATATATATATATATATATAAAAGTATGATAAAAACAAGATTTGTATAAGATTGAAGAAAATAATTAATTGTTTGTAGTTATAGACGAGTAGGTATCACGTGGGGGAGGGGGGGCGCCGTTATATTTTGCCGACTTAAAAAAAAAAAAAAAAGGTCCTCGTTTTCCAAAATTTAGTCGGCAAATTTCGACATGGCCGACTGCCATGTCGACATTTGCCGACTAAGGGTCTAGTTTGCCGACTAAGGGTCCAATTTGCCGACTAAAAATCATTGATGGGGGGGGGGGGTGTAACACCCCCACACACCCCTCTCGCGCCGGCCTTAGTTATAGGAAGCTCGCAGAAGACTGGGGTCAGTCTTGTCATCGAGTACCTTCTAGACGTGTAATACACATAAAAATCAGTTGCATACGTGGCAAATATGTATGTGATACATATATGCTTTAAAATTATTAATGTTACTATCTCCTTTTAGTATTATTTTTATTGATTCCTTTGAAAAGTTACATTTTTTGTTTTATTAGGGTTGTTTGATATTATATTTAATTTTTAAATTTTAAATTGGAGTTTAAAAAACAACTCCTTGTAGTTGTTTAATTTAATTATTGTCGATTTTATCGTTGTTTTTAGGGACTGTTCGTTGTTTAAATTTATTAGCGATTCGTTTCTAGAAATTATTTTGTTAAATAAATAGGGACCACGATGTTTTATTGAAAAGTTTGAGAGTAGTTTTTTCAAAGGGTATCTTAAAGTTTCCCGTTGCTCTTGTATTGTATTTGTTTACGTTGTTTTCAAAAAAGTGTGCTGTAAAATGTTCTGGAACTAGATTTAGTTTATATTTAAACATGAAAAGTATATCTTGATAAATATTAATTTGAAAAATATTTAAAGCGTTCATTTGCTCCAGTAGGGGTTGAGCATGAGTAAGTTTGTTTTTGTTGAACACTAGTCTTGAAGCGTGCTTTTGACGCAGTTAAAGCGGTTTTAATTAGTTATGTGGGTACTGCCCCATGCTATATTGGCATACATAAGATAGCTATGTATAATTGAAAAATAAACGAGTATTAGACTTTTTTGTGTCAAGAAAGATCTTGTTTTATAAAGTAGACCTATGTTCTTTGATATTTTTGTATTTATATAGTTGATGTGGGGCTTCCAAGAGATGTGTTCATCAATTAGAACACCTAAAAACTTTGTATTTTGAGCTCTTTCGATTGTTATATTTTCTATAGTAATTGTTGGTAGGTTAAGGGGAAGCTTTTTAATTTGTTGAGTAGAGTGGAATAGAATATATTTAGTTTTATCTATATTGAGTGAAAGTTTGTTTGATTTAAACCTTATATTAATTTTTTTTAGTTCATTATTTGTTTTTTTAAATAAGTCTTCAATAGTCTTTGATGAGTAAAATAAGTTTGTATCATCGGCAAAAATTATAGTTTTGAAAATATTAGAGGCATTTGGGAGATCGTTCATGTAAATAAGAAACAAAAGAGGAGCAAGAATGGACCCTTGGGTACCTTTACCAATTATTTTCTTCATAATGCCCCATGTCTTTTTTAAGTCTCCATTAAATTTTTGCATTTGGTTGGAGTAATATAATATTTTATGTTTTTTTTTCAATTTTTTCAAATAAGTTTTTGTATTGCTTGTAGAGAAATAAGTTTGCTTCGTAAAGTTTTTGTTTTTGTTTTGAGGATTTTCCTATTTCTTTTGTTATCCAAGGACAGTTTAAATATTTCGCTTTTATTTCTTTTTCTTGAATTGGAAAACTCTTATTATATTCTAGCATAAATAAATTAATAAATTTAATGTACGCAGAGTTTGTGTTTCCTGAGTTACATTCTCGGTAGACTTTTTGCCAATTTGTTGCCGATAGCAAGTCCTTAAATTTTTGAGTAGATGTTTCATCGATAATTCTTTTATAAAACAAGATTTTTGAATTATCAATTTTTCTGGAATCTAGTGATAAAGAAAAGTAGATTGGAAAGTGATCTGAGATGTCTGTTTTTATTATTCCTGATTTTAGAGAAGTATCTTGTATTGAGTTTGTTAATATATTATCAATGGCAGTAATAGATTTGGAAGTTACCCTGGTAGGTTTGTTGATAATCGGGAAGATATTAAGCTGAAACATGTTGTCAAAGAAATTTTTAGTAACCGCATGTTCGTTGTATTTTAAGATATTTATGTTTGAACAATTGTATGAACGAATTGTATGAATGTATGAACAATTTTTTCTGTTCTCTATTTTTTGTTATAAAATATTTCATATAGTTTGAGAATTTACAGGTATCACCATCGGGTGGTCTGTAGCACGTAGAAACTAGAAAGTTTTTTACGCGTTTGTAACTTCCATTGTGAGGACCTCAATATTTCCATCAGAGTTTGAGAGATCATTTCTTAACTTAGTGTTTAAATCATTTTGTATATAAATCACAATTCCTCCTCCTCTTTTGTTAACAGATCTTTCTTTAGAAAATATTTTATAGTTTGGAATTTGGAGGTCAGAGTTTTTTTCTGCTGTTTCGTCGGAGCACCAAGCCTCTGTAAGGCAGATCATACTGAAAGTTTGTTTGCATTCAAGGAGAAAGTTTTTTAGTTTGTCTATATTTATAGGTAAATTTCTGATATTTATATGTATTGCCGTAAAATTATTTATAGTGATTTTAAGTTCAACTTTAAAATTTTTTATATCAAAATATACAGAATAAGAGTATTTTTCGTTTAAAAAGCTAAACTCGTCATAACGATTTCGCGGTAAATGTTTATTGGCAATTTCAAAGATATTAAAACGCAGCTAAGTCTATTGTTTCATTGACCATAATGTTTTTTTAGAAATGAAATTTTTTAAAAATTTGCTCGCTAAAAACAGCTGTTTATTTTTTAAATTCTCTGCAATAAATTTTATCAAATTTAATAATGGCGTATTTACCAGCTTTACGAAGTCGTTTCACTTCCTCCCATAATTTCTTAAGATGTTCAATCGTTTCTTTCGCGTAGTCTTCTTTTATGTAAATCCCAGTCTCTCGTAATTTTTTGGCGCTGTTCAAAACTTTAGTTTTATCTAAAAAATTCAGTAGTTTGAAGATTATTGTTCTCGGTGGTTTGTCTTCTCTTGCACTTCCAATACGATGGGCTCGTTCGATTTCAATTTCTTCAGATATTTTTAGCTTATTTTTAATTATTTCTTTAACCGAGTTTCTACAATCTTCCCAGCTTTCACCTTCTATTTCTTTAATACTATCGATCCTTAAATTGTTTCTGCGTGAGCGGTTCTCTAAGTCCACAGTTTTTTTTTACTAAATAATTTATATCATAGCCCAAATTTGCTTTAACTTTTTCTATTTTTTCCGTAACATTTGCTTCTTGAAGCTTTAGGCTCTCTTTAATTTCATGTATATCTTTTTCAATGTTAGTATTGTTATACCTTGACAGATAAAAATAAATACAATATAAGTTGTTAACAACTTCAATATATCTACATCTAGTATATGCAAGATTTAAAATGGTACTATCCTACAAATTTTATTTTATAAAATGTGATCTTTTTCTTAAATTTTTTTTTTCTTTTTTTTTTAATGTTTTTTTTTTGTTTTTGTTTTTTTCTTAAACATTTTAGAAAATCGTTGTAAAATAAAACCGTTAACATTTAAATAACAAAATCATACAATAAGAACTAAGTAAAAGATAATATAGTTATAGAGGTATTTAATTTTATAAAAAGAACGCGGAGACTCGCAAAAGACCGTCAGATCTTGTCATCGAGAACATTAAATCATAACCAAATATAGTTGTATATCTCTATAAAAACTTGACAGTATAAATACTTTAAATATTACATGAAATTATTAAACGTTCAAAAATATAAAAATATATTATCCAGAGACAAAATTATTTCTTTAAGTTTATTTTTAAATGATAGGTAAATTCATTCCAGAGAAAATCAAACTGTTTTAAAACTATTTTATTCCAAAGAAAAGCTCCGCGAAATGCAATGCTTGTTTTTCCAAAATTAGTTTGATAAAAATGTTGCCAAACTATATTGTCATTTCTCATATTGTATTTATTTTTATCTGTCAAGGTATAATAATTATGGAAAGAAACTGGGGAGGAATTTATTTTACATTTGTATATAAAACAAGGAGTATTAAAAACATTAAGCTGAAATAAATTAAAAATTTTCATTTCAGATAAAAGAGGCATGGCATGAGTAAATCTGTCTTTAAAATTGATAAAACAAGCAACACGCTTCTGCTGACGATAAAGAGGTTTTAGTTTACTTTTATTGGCATTATACCAATATAATATTAGCAATATTTGCATAATTTTAATGACAATGGATAAAAAAAAAATATATATGTGTTAAACTTTATTTATTTAAGGCATTTCTAGCCTTAAACATTACTCCTATACTTTTAGCAATTTTGTTGTACAAAAAATTAGTGTGGTATTTCCAGCTAAAGTTTTCACCAACATGGACACCTAAAAAGTTAGTATTTATTTCTCTTTTTATTTGAATTTTGTTTATAAAAAGTAGTTAGGTTAGGAGGAGTTAGGAGGCTGTAGTTTCTTTTAAGAAGTCGGATGAAAGAG